TCAATTTTCAAATTAAGTCCCCTTTTACCAAAAGAAAAGAGAAAGGGTAGTCAAGAGTTACCGGCAATCAGTTCAGCTCATTAAAAAGAAAACCTGAAGGAAGTGCAATTCGACTCCACATTAAGATTTATTTTGCCAACACAAAAGCGAGCAGAGCAGCCCGTGCATGACAGTCATTAAAATGAATCTTACATATATCATTATAAATGTACTAATCTCCATGACGGCTGGAGTTCAAGTTAAAATGAGCATCATCAAACCGTGACCAATTGATGTTATCCCAGCTGCCACCAATGGGGTGGCATTAGACTTTCAGATGCTACGACCATACCAGCATGCACCATGGTCAAAAGCTAGAACAGATGGGAAATGTGCATTTCCATAGCCATCAAACACCACATGCAGCCATCCCTGCCTACCAACCCCCCCACCCCACTCTATCCAACACATATGTATGCAATTGTTACCCATGCAATACGCTTACTCCTGCCCTGCACACAAACATAACCGGCGGTCTGATGTGTAGTTTTACCAGCACTTCAGCGCGACACAAGAATAGAAACTTGAATAAAATAAGTTATTCCGCGCGGCTTTAATTGCCCCTTACACCTCCCCCAAAGCGTGTTTTTTAAACCCACCCCCCTCCTCTCCAAGAGGTTCTCGTGCTGTACGGTGCAGCTCAACTGAGGCACGAAGGCTCTGTTCTCCAAACACGAAAGAGAATTTTCTCAGCAAGCTTCGCACCTTCGTACAAATACAAAACATCAAAAACCCAATGCCTGGAGACTTTTACTAATGCCTCTTAAAAAGAAACTTTTCAGATGACTGTGTGCGCAAGGGAGACTACCTAGACAAAAGCTGCCAAAGCCCACATGCACCTTCTTTTAAAACAAAGCTGCAATACAGCCGAGACAAAACCTATGAAATATCTGAACGTCTTGAAGTGTTAATCTCATTAAAGTGACTCACACACAGAGGTGGGCTGGATTCAGGTACTCGGCTCCCAGTGTGCACGTATCAGTGCAGTACGAACCCTCATCACCAGTTGGCTAAAGCTCGTCAGACTTTTAGAATAATACAGAAAGTGACAGAACGCACATGTTCTCCATCTAAACCCAGCAGACAAAGACACAACAGGGTCATCCGGCTTGTGTTGTGTACTAATCGAGGCCTCCATGCTTTTTTGCTAGCAAGATCTTCTTGTCTGGGCAAAAGATGCAGAGGAAGGATAAACCTCAAGAACGCTAGTTTTTTTTTTTAAAACACATATGGATAAGGAAAGCCGTGGGTCTAAACTCCTGTTCACAAAATGCTGAAATCCTGGACTTACTCTTTTTTGATCATCCAGCCCGTGAGTCACCGGCTTTCTCCTGTGATGTTGATGCTGGGCAGACTCGGCTCCAGATTCCATTTCCTTCAGTGCCAATCCTCTCTCCTTTATCTTCCAGTCACTTTCCCAGAATATCCAACAAATCCCAAGGCAGAGGAAACAAAGTCCTTTCACGCCCACCTCTCTTCCTTCAAAAGCAACCCCTGAGACTTCCACTTGAGCACTTTCCAGAAAATCATCACCTTGTGGTCCTGGACGTTTTGCTTTTCTTCCTCCTACTTCTCAGTCATTTTCCAAACCATCGTTCTTTTATTTCAGCTTTATTCCAGAAGGGCCGGCCTGCGTGTGAACGCACAAGAGCAGAAGGTTCCCCAGTACTTGTGGCTTGTGTTTCATCATCGCTGCAGTTATGTGCACTCCGCCACACTCATCCCAAAGACGCATTTAATCCACCGGTCGATAGGATCAGCGCAACATACTGGACAGGTCACCCTTCCATTATCAATCAGCAATCCTGACAATGGCTATTTGTAAATCCCACAAGAGCACAACCCAAAGTCTTCATGCAATGGTGCCATCTGAGTAGAGAGAGGCGATCTGAGAAAGAAAACAAGAGGGATGTCAGTGAATCGCATGGAATAATGTGGAGTGAATGAAAAGACAGGCTTTAATAGTTAAAAGTGCGAGTGCCACACGTTTGTAAAATGCAACATGCTCTGGTCTTGCAGCTGTTTACTTTTTAGAGTTGCCTTATAGAAAAAGCAAACCGAGAATGCTTACAAACATTTGCAACACATCAGATAACAGTTTGATATGACAACAGAAACTATATTTTTTAATTTGTTTCCACAGTTAAATGTCAGCCCGAGTCCCTAGACATTGTATTACATTACAGTAAATAAACCAAATTTCCAGAGTGAAAGGAGAAAAGAATAATATTTTATTTCAGGCAAATACACATTAGCCAAGTGTCCAGGCCTGTTTTCTAAATTAAAAAATGAACTGCATTATAGGGGGAAAAACAATTACTAGAAATTATATTTTATTTGTTCCTGTTCTCGTTAGTCGCTTCTTAATCAGTGCCGTTGAAGTAGCTTTATTTGAGACTTTTAGATTAAGTACTAAAATGTACTTTTAAGTTGTCTCCAAACTCGCCTTGCTGGACCAACCGAAATCAGGCTTGTTCGGGGTTAATAAAAAAATAAAATAACTGTAGACGTGCATAAGCTGTCCAAGCAGAAAGTAGCGAGAGAAATCGCTTTATTTTTTATTGTAACTGTGGTTTTACAATTCCCGGAGAAATTTCGAAGACTTCGAAATACTCCAATTTGCCACATTTTCGTTTATATATACCTTAAATACGTGACAATCAAACGACTGCAACTTGCAATGTCCTGTTCAATCGTTTTGTTAATTCAAACAATGTTCGCGAGACGCGAAAACTACCTCAGAAATTTGTGTTCCGTGAGCCTTTTGTTTCCATGTAATCGTCCAGCTTACTGCGTACACGGCTACATTAGAGATGTCGGTTTCCTAATAAGTACTAGAAAAGCACTGTGCGACTAGTATGTTTGGGTACTTGGGAAGAAAGACACTTCTGAGTTACAAAATTGTAACATTGTCACCTTCTAGTACAATTTATGACGAATTTCCCAGACAAGCACCTTATCTGCAGTTCCTGTGAGGACAGGCAGACTGTATTGCGCAATACATAATATAGATAATATTAGTGCATTTATTTAAAGGCGTTTTTTCCGGCGTCTGCACCGACAGTGATGGTCTGTAGTTCACTAATAATAAATTATGATACGGATCACACTTGACCAGATATAGTGCATTTAAAATCGAACCGAAATAAATTTTAAGACGCCTAAATAATCAATTGCTTTGCCTTGAAGCGGCTATGTCGCAGGTTTTAATTCTAATACTCCGGCAAATTGTCAATTGTGAAACGGATCTAGATTCCGCATTGCATAAAAACCCAAAAAATCACATTTTTAACTAGGTCTTCAACCATCTGCCACGCAGTGTGTTATAAATGTATGAGACGGAGGTTATGGGTACATCTCGAATGATGCTTTCTAGACTCTAGAGTTAACTTAAAGCACATACAGCCAATACATAGACAAAAGCTGATGGGAACCTACTTTAGTTTGAGAACATTGCAATTATAGCACTTTGCCAACCTCCTGCGGGAAGCTCATAAAACACAATCCCATTACAAAACTTAGTATTTAATTACATCTCCCGAGTCTCCCTGCTGTCCCTAAAGATCAGACAGTTATACTTCTCTCTGCTTAAGCACAGTCAGACGAGTACGTCTTCGATTTGCTACCCGTCTGCAGGAATACTACTGCAAGCATTTTCTATCAATCTGGATAGCAGCGCACGTGCCCTACTACAATTAACGTGCATCTTTAAGCAGGAGGGAAAGAGACTAGTCCTACTCACCCAAAACAAAACCCCTCAGTGCCCCACTGCAAACAGGCTCCTCTCCATACACATTCTAGCTACTCTCTCCCCGTCTTACAGCCAGTGCATTATTGCACTGAAGAACCCCCTCTTTCTAATCGATCACATTACGTCATTGCTAAGCGCGCCAGTCTTCTTCCCGGTTTTTCAGCGCTATCCGTCTCCATGGAAACTTCTCTGGGAAAAAGGAATCTGTTGCCATCTAGCGTCGACGAGAGATTTAGCACAAGAGGAGCAATTTCGCAATTAACCGGGAATATTTCATTCTATTAGATCGCGAGGAAAATAGCAAACGCCATCATGTGTAGTGCATACACAAAAAGCCTGAAGGCTTAAGGGTGTGAAAGACAATCCGGCTCAATATCTTAAGATTTTAAAAAAATAATGTCAGTCCTCTTCTTCCGTTTTTCTCCGAAGTGTGCTGTCAGGTCTTTCATGACAGCGTGGTTGGAGCCTACGGTCACTCTATGGGACCTTGGTTTGGAAATTCACGTCCCGGGGGAACAGCACCTCCTACTGGTCCACCAAATCACTCACAGCAGCAACACGAATTTCCTTGAAAGTTCCCCTGTCCAGCACTGAAACAACCCAGCCCTGCTTAGCTTCCAAAATGTACAACGGGATCAGGCCCCAGCGATTTCTGTAATCCTCCTAAGTCAGTATCTGTTACCAGGCTTGGGAATCAGATATTGTCATGCACTTTAATTTTTTCCCAGTCCTCAGATACCTTTCGGAAATCACTGGGATGTATACTTTGTTCCCTACAAATTTGATACTGTGATTAGCTATACTTGAAGTTACACTCAAGCAGTCACATTAAACGATAAATGGAGACTCACGTCTCAAAATAAACAATACTGCACACTTTTTATCTCGTTTTATTCCTGTTCTAAAAGCGCCAGCACTACAAAGCTCAACTAGATTTACAGCCCTTGCATAGTAGCACGGCGCTGCATAGCCTAGTCATTGCTAACAACAGGGAAACCAAGGCGTCTATTTGCATTAAGGTGGACAGTGGCACTCCCTTGCTCGCAGGCCATACGTGACGAAGTCCTTGGCGCTGAAGCGCTCAGATAACATTAAAAAAAAACGCCGCTCCGCGTTCTCACGGCTCTGATTGGCTGGAAGGAAATGTAAAGCAGGGCGGGAGGGTGAGCGCGCTGTATGAATGACGTCAGGCGGGAGTGGGGCAGGGAATTTGCGAAATGCCTCCTTTTGTACTCACTGAAATGTAAGCTGAGCGACTGATCGCTGGTTTAACTCAGGGCATGCCTTAAGTTATAAAGTTCCTCGATATTGGATGAGTTGGTATAGTGTGTGTTTTTTTAATTACATAGGATTGTTCTACAATTTTAGAAGTGTTATAGGTTTTACAGATAATTTATTACCAGTACAGTATATGTGTTTGTACTTGCCTTACCGTTTGTATTTACTACATGTTTACGAATATGAGAGCTGCTACACTTTGCCGGTTAAGTTTTTAAGACGGATCTTCAAAACGAAGAATGCAGTGAATATTTAGCCATCGATTGTATTAACTACAGACTTTTTTTTATGGTCCAACTCTGAGGATCTGAGTGTGTGTACATTAAGCGACGAGCAATACAAGAGGATCTTTTTAACTTGCATCTGGGTAAGTTATTTTTATTTTATGCGTTTGTGTAACATGATTCATGTTGAGAAATATTGTGTTAGCTGAGAGTTATCAGAAAACGATATGGAGTGTAATTTTAGCCCAGTTTAGTAGCTAGAGTTGATCCCTGGACTACTGTATCTACAGTACGTCACAAGGATTTATTGTTTATGCATAAGGTGAATAATATGGATTATCCTGCTCCTGTTGAATTAGCTGTTTTCGGGCTACATAAAGGATTCGCTTTTCGTTTTTAGCGAAGTGTTTTTACAAAAAAAAGCCCGGTTTGAAAGTTCCCTAAACTTGAGGAAGTTGGGGGAGGCAAGCTTAGTTCGCTAAATGCCGGGTTCCTTCGGGATTTCGATGTCCCTTTAACGAATATCTGGAAAACACATCAGATTTGTCTTTTTAGGCATTAAATTGGTTATCTGATGCCGTGAATGTCTGATATTGAACTAGAAACCTAGAAACAAGGGCGGCAGTCGAGACCCAGGGCTAACTACCCTAGCAGACATTGTATGAGCGGGGAAAATTTAAAGAACCCGCGCGTTTCTTACACTCCAGTATTTACATAGTATAGTCGCTCCAAAACACGCTGCCTCTTATATTTTCAAGAAATGTCCACCGTCCCATCACGATTATTAGTATTCATGACTATTTTTTTTAATTTAGGGTTTTATACCGTGTGCCTCTGATTAGCACATTCCTTTCCTGGGGTGATCATAAACGCTTCAAGCAAAACAATCTGCGTGCCAAACGAGTTTTAGACGTCGACGTATTGTTTGTCGTTTTCTTCTGCGCTACATGTATGGCCATAGACAAAGTGTAATTCGTTTGTCTTCGTGCGTGAGTTGAAACACTGTTTAATAAGCAAGCAAGATTTCTGGGGACGAAGGTCCCGGAGTTCCGCGCCAATAATTTAAAAATATCTGTACCTGCGCGGGACACTCTAACATCACAGCGAGGCGGACTCCCGCTTCATTTTTATTGGTCGATGAGCTAAAGAGGCGGGCATTTGCGTTGAGCGCTGTTTCTGATACGGCAGCGCAAGTGTCAGTTAACGACGGGCTTCCTCAGAGGGTACTACGAGTTTGATGTTAACTCTTGAGTTTCTGGACTTTTGTAAGTCGGAGATTTTGCTTGGTCGGTTCTTTTTTTAAATAAGAAACATAATTTTAATCTTGAAATCAGCGTTGCAGCTTTTCTTGTGCTGCAGATGCACCCCCTTTACACGCGTGTTGGTTTGGTGTGTGATTTAACCTGACACATATAACACTGATTTGATTTTTTTTTCCCCAATTATTTTTTTTAAAGGTGGAAGATGACAAGTGCATTGCTGGAATTAAAGAATTTAAATCAGAAACCAAACCGTTTCTCTAACACACCGCATAAAGAGGATGGAAAGGTTAGTAACACGATGTACAGATGTACTGTTTTTTTAACTAAAATTGTAATTAGTTTACAATCCTTCACTGTAACCTGCTGATTGTCTTCATCAGGCACAAAAAATCCCCTCCAATCTGAATAAAAAGTTTGATAATTGATAATCAGTACAGATTATCTTCATATATTTGTATGTTTCTGTTTTTTAGGGAAACGTTTTAGTTTAAGCAGGATATTTGTATTTGAATCACTAAGTAATGCATATTCATTCAGTTAAACATTTAATTTTCCTTTTTTGCAGTACGGTGTATTTGTAGAGCCTCCTGCACTGGGAATCAAAACGCCACTTAAGGCTTCTACCTCACATTCAGTATTAGCAGAGAGTCAGCAAGACATGGGGTCTCTGACGACGCCAACCAAGGGGAAAGACACTCCTGCCTGTGAGCCTTGGACCCCAACGGCAAACCTTAAAATCCTGATCAGCGCCGTTAGTCCGGAGATCAGGAACAGGGAAAAGGAGCTATGCATTGATGACACTGAAGGGGCAGGGGCTATTGATAGTTCTCAGGTAAATGTCAATTCTCCATTCCTGCAGGTTTTAATCTGGCATTAGATTGCTGAAAATAACCTTGCATTACATGTCTAATTCATTCATCCTGGTCCAAACAGCATTTGTATATTTATTTTCTCATCCTACAAAGAATTTGCAGTTGAACAATTATTGTTATGGTGTAATTATTAGACCTTGATTTAATCCTTTTACAGATGTGTTTACGTTACATCAAAAGCCTTGTTACAAAAAAGGTACAAGTTTCCTTGCACTACACAATCCTGAACTCGATTTAATTACTCATTTGTGTCTCCGTCCCCCAGGAACACTTTGGCGACGATTCTGACAAACTTCAAACAAGCCGGAAAGAAAAGAGTTTGGGGTTACTCTGCCACAAATTCCTAGCAAGATATCCTGATTATCCCAACTCTGCCCTCAACAACGATATCTGTCTTGATGAAGTAGCTGGAGAGCTTCGTAAGTTGCGATTTATGTTTCAGTAGGCCATTATCTGTCTGGAGGTTCCATGTTTAGGAAGTGATTCTCAAAAACAACCACAAAGATAAAGACAGAGCCAACGAGAGTTACATGCCAAGTTACTGTTAATTTTAAAATGTCGAAAACAATTGCAAATCAACAGATGCACCACAAGCAGAACCAGAGCAGATCTGTTGTGTAATTTTACGAACAATTAGATGGGAAAACCTAGGAAGTCTCTGAACAGCCCCAGGCTGCTAGTTAACAATCCCGGGTTTGCACTGTGCTTGTACTGTACGTCACAGGATTCCCACAATAAGATATTTCATTCGCCTTCGTGGTGCTGCTCTTCAACCCGCGTCTCGCTTATAAATCCGGATTTTAAAAAAGAACCCGCGTTGTGATCACACAGATGTGGAGCGCCGGCGCATCTATGACATCGTCAACGTGCTGGAGAGCTTGCACATGGTCAGCCGGCTGGCCAAGAACCGCTACACCTGGCACGGGCGGGGCAAGCTGGCGCAGACCCTGGGCATGCTGAAGCAGGTGGGCGAGGAGCACGGGTACTCGGCGCAGATGCAGCAGCTGAAGCAGAGGAGTCACGAGAGGGAGTTCGACTCGGACGCCGAGGAGAAGGAGAACGAGGACGTGCGGCAAGCCGGGGGGCTGGATGGCGACGTGGGGCAGAGGGAGATGTTCTTCGTGGAGCTCCCGGGGATGGAGTTCAGGGCAGGTGAGGCTCCGCGCTTCAGACATGCTCCCTTTTGTCTGTGTGCGAAAATGAGCACGGAGAGGAAGAGGCTTCCAACAGCGACTTTTTGAAGAAATTAAGCTCACATTTAACTCTATTAAATCTTTCCCCTCAAAGCATCTGCTTATTTCTGTCTGGCTGAAATGCTTACACAAACATTTGAAAAGCTAAATGGAAAACAGAAGCCGTCGAGGTGTTAAATGCAGTAGCAGAGAACTACTCTAAACAACAGAAACCTCACTGCCATTTCCTTTCTGCTTTCACAGCTTCGGTCAACAGCAGGAAGGACAAGTCGCTGAGAGTTATGAGTCAGAAGTTCGTGATGCTGTTCTTGGTTTCCAAGCCCCGCGTGGTCAGTCTGGACATCGCAGCTAAAATTCTCATCGGAGAGGATCAAGTGATTGATTTGGATAAGAGCAAGTTTAAAAGTGAGCAGTATTTTATTTATCTGGATTTCCGTTTTATGACGCGTGCTCGGTTGCTCTACAATACTTCAATAATTCGGGGACCGCATGTGCTTATGGTTTCCACTGCATCTATTCCAGCAAAAATCCGGAGGCTGTATGACATCGCTAACGTGCTGAGTAGTCTGGAGCTGATAAAAAAGGTGCACGTTACAGAGGAGAGAGGCCGGAAGCCAGCATTCAAGTGGACAGGACCTGAGGATTTCTTATGTGTTAAAGGTACATTTTTAATGCTATAATTTACTGCAGTTGTTTAATATGATCATACTACTTTTAGTCTTTAAGCTTCATTTTGCTTATTTTTTCCTTTTTCCACAGATGAAAAGACATCATCAGCTGCCACTTTAGCTACATCCAAGACATTAGAATCCAGATCCTCCATCGAAAATTGCGCCAAAAATCTCTTCCCTTCGTCCAAGACAAAGCATAGCTTCACACGGCACCCATCTCTTGTCAAGCTAGCAAAGAGTATCCAGGATGACCGAAGGAAAATAAACTCTGCACCCAGCAGTCCTGTCAAGATGAAAAGTAAGTGTTAGGCAGTACAGCAGTACAGTGGCGGGGCACATCTTTAACACAAGTAGGAAGCTGCGTCAGCATGCGTAGGCTGCAAAGGAACAAGTAAAGGTTTATTCCATGATGAAAATAAAACAACGTTTTCGGCTGTAGAGTCAGATGGCACTTGAAGAAGGCTCCCCAGCCAAAATGTGTTTCTTTTTTTCTCTTTTTCAGCATTAAATAAATCTTTACATCTTTAACACCTACAAGTCTGAAAATAAATGATCCCCCAGATAAAGTGAACTACTGGACAGTGATACATGTCACAATGAAGCAAGATGTCTTGCTACACAGTGCCTTACAGATCATCACTGGCATCTTTTATTAAACAGGAAACAACCTCTTCCAGCAAACAGACTAGAATACTGAGCAATACATTTATAAGATGTTCGTTTTTAAATATTGTGTAAATTGTGATGGATTATGAGCAAGTATATGGCATTTAATGTCCCTTTTGCACTTTGTTTTTTTTCATTCTTTACACTCATCTCCGTATCCTTGTTTCCCCCCAAGACTCGACCGATCCTGAATGTTACCCAAGCAGAATGGCCCAGCTGGCAGCCATCTGCAAAATTCAGCTTGATGAGCAATCAAGGTAAGTTCTAACTAAGGTCATTTAGTGCAATATTTCTTTTCTGTAATGTGGAAATGTTTCTTATTTCCTTATTTAACTTGGTTCGGGCAAAGCATCAAACTTTGGTTTTTAATAGCCTTAATGCATCTAAACAAACAAGTAATAGGTTTATTCCATGCTGAAAAAAAAGAAGAAAGAAAACGTTTCGGCCGTGGAGCCTTCTTCAGGTGAGAAAGACAAGACACCTGAAGAAGGCTCCACAGCCAAAACGTTGTTTTCTTTCTTCTTTTTTTCCAGCACGGAATGAACCTATTACTTGTTCCTTTGCAGGCTACACATGCTGACGCAGCTACCCACCTGAACTACTTAATGCTAATACAGTGATAATGCACATACACACCAAAAAACAGTCACCATGGGGGAATCAAAACTTCATTTGTTCAATGCAACTCATTTTTCTACCTCATGAAATAAACTGCTATTTACTTTTGTTTTAGGAAAAGCAAGAAGAAACCCAAACAGACTGTGACACAAGCTCAAAAACAAAAAGGAAAAGCCACCAAAACATCAGGAGCTGTTGAGCAACTAGTAAACGGAGAACAGCAGGATACCAACTCTCAGGCTAAGACCCTTGCGCCATCTACCAGAGCAGTACCTTATCTTCACTGTCAGTATTCTCCCCTCATCCCCGTGATACTACCTCAGAACCAGACTGCTGGACCGTGTGCTATATATGTGCACTCTTGTGCGCGGCCAGTAGCTAATCGCTCCAGCCTGGCTGTACGATCCATGAGATTTGAAGATAAAGGTGGGGAAAGTCCACCTGACGCTGGCTTAGAAATCCACTGCGACAGGACAGCTTCAGCTTCTGATCCAGAAAATGACTCCTCTCAAAAGAATTGCCAGTCGCCTTGTTCGCTGAACAGTCCCAAGAGGGTCTATAAACGAGCCTGTACTGAAAAGCTTGAAAACTCTTCTCCAAAAAGAAAGAAGACCCAGACAAATTCTAGGGTATGTTTTCCTCTTTCTATTTTTGATTCTAAGGGTGTTTCCAGAGCTACAGATAACCTAAAAATATTAGCTACGTTCATTGTTAGCAACTGTCATTCAGAAAAGTTAATTTGTTGTATTACTTAAAAAGTGCCTGAGCAATAGGTTTAGTCAAGCGTTAAGGAAAGACGTATGTAACTCTCCTGCTTGGTTACCGATGATTCGGTGTCAATTTTCTCAGATGCGACCCGAGAAAATGCTCATTCTTAAGTGAAATTCTCTCCTGATTTTTATCATCAGGGTTCGTCACCCGGTGAAGCAGAGCTATACGAACTCTACCTGGACAAGCTCAAGGCACGCAGGGGATTGGTACCCAACAGACCTTCGCCTAGAGCCTTGCACTTAGATCCAGAGTTTATCAATACCCCGGAGAACAAGGGATCAGAGCAGCTTGACGAAAGTGTGGAGACATTCCTGGAAAAAGAAGAGAAGCTTTCGTGTTCCGACAGCGAAGCAGGACTTACTCCTATACGATCGGTCTCCGTGCCAGAAATCATGGTGCCTTCTGGTCATCTGCACCCTGAGGTAACCAAAGTTTGATATTTCCGTTCCAAATGATATCCACGGATGGGAAAATGTGTTCTGACCATTGATTTTTGTTACATCTGTTGTTCCAGGCACTAGTGCCAGCCGGCTATCTTATTCCCATATCGCAGCAGTCCCTCTTCAGCCTTCAGAGGTCGCGGTCCCCGGGCGGAGAAAGCCCCAAGCCCTCAGCTTCACACCACAAGGCTTACCAACCCCCTGTCACAGGTACCGACACGGAGCGAGAAAGCTCACAAGATAGCATTGGAACTCCCGTGTTTCGGAAGTGGTTGAAACCCATTTGACTACCATTCTGTCTTTGCCCCCCTCCCCCACAGGGGCCCTACCTGTGATGTCTTCAGAACTCACCCCTACGAGCTTCACATCGCACGCCACGTTTCAGCACCCCAGCCCCTCCGTCTCCCTCGCCTCCTTTCCAGTTATCAACCAGTCGAGCCCTTCTTTTGCCTCCGGGCAGCACGTGAACAGCCCCAGCCCCGCAATACTGAACTTCACACTACAGAACCTCGGGCTGATCTCGGCTGGAATCCCGCAGGGTGCCAGCCCTGGCACTGTGGCCACCCCCCTGGAGCAGGCCAGCCCCGTCCCAGGACACCTGAGCTTTCAGCCAGGGGGGATGATCTTCATCAAGCCTATGTCTCCAGTCCCGGTTCAGCCTCAGATGCCTGGACAGCATGTTACTTTGATCAGTTTACAGCAGGTGAGAACTAGGACTTGGTTGTTCAAGACCTCTTAAAAGAAGAGAGACAAAAAAAATGTTTCACGCTACTATATAGTAATATGCAGTTGTTGATGTAACACATTGTAAATTATTAAATATTTATAGCAGCAGTGAAATACAAAAAAGACGTGCAAACTATGTAGAAATTATTTTTAACCAGTTACAGAAGCAGTCAGAACTGTTTATGTAAAGCATGAATTAACATTAGAGTAAAAGTATCCATTACACACCTTGAAAACTTTGAATCCAAGTTATCAGCTGACTGTAACTGTTTTTATTTTCAAACAGCCTCTTCTGGCAACGCCCAAAGCATCCCAGTGTGCTCAACAGAGCTTCTTCCACACCCCAGTCTCCACCTTGTCTCCCTTGGCTGCTGTGGTCTCGTCTAGTCATTCGTCTCACGAGAACATTTACATACCGCAGAGGAAACTTGAAGTGAGCACTGAAGAAACCTGAAGACTGTAGCAGCAGACCCTCTCTGCACTGTTTTTTTCTTTCATGAGCTGCAAAACGTTATTTATAAAGCTTTGACAATTTGACTGTGTGAGTGGGGGGGTGTCCCTTTGCACAAAGGGGTACGCTAGTTCATATTAAATTATTTCTAGGTCCTAAGCACAGACGTGTTCAGGTCCTGCAACACCTGCAGTGAAAGTCATTAAAAAGTTTTGTGGATTTTACAAAACAGATGGATATACCTTCTGAAGACTACAGCCCCTGCTACCAGGTGTCCTCTAATAAAAACTGCAGCATGGAAAAACTTAAAATATAGGGTACCTGCAGGTTTTAGAGTAGTTACAAAACAGCATACTGTATGTACTCTGCTATTTACTTCTTGCAGTTTCTACTGAACCAGACTTGTGCCCCATGATCACTGAAACTAACTGGGCTTGAAAACCTGCAAAAACACAAATACAGTTTACACTGTACATCTTAAAGCACAGACAATGTTTTAACAGTTAATCAACATTTCCACAGGATGAGAAAACATTCACACTGAAGATCTCCATCTTTAATGTTAAACACTAGCTTTTTATACAGTCAGTGCTGTAGCAGAACTGGAGTTTTAAGCAGGAAGTGGCACAGGACCTCGGACCCAATGCATTAATGTACTGCATAATTTTCCAATGCCCATTTAGGATATTCAAAATATGCATGTAGGAATAAACTATGACAAACGTTTCTTTATTCAGTAATACAAGTAGCCTTAATAGGACAAATCAAACCGATACATGGATGATTCATGTTTTGCATGTTAGCAAAAAGATGTACGGCACAATGACATTTTGCACATTTTATATGTTAACTGTTACAGTTCTTTAATTGGTATCTATGAAATAAAGATAAAAAATGAATGTATGGGGAAATTTCCTATTAGTGTAATCAGGTGAATTATAATTTCATTAATTTATAGGAAGGATTTTCTTACATTTGTCAATGATCAAAATTGTTAACCTGGACTGCTTTGGTTGGATTGCAGTTGAATTAATTTGATATGTACACATTTACTAAGAAAATAAAGGGGGATTCTTTCTGTTTTCAGCATACAACACCTGTATTTCTTTTCACTGATGAAAATTTCTTAACTAAGGACCCTTCAATACAGCCTACAAATCTGACAAATGCAGCTGCCTTCATATTTACACACATGCCCATATTTATCATGAGAACAAATGGCACCCCTAGGGACTTACCAGTTCCCAGCACAAAGCAAAGGATTTGTCAGATGTTATTTTGGGAAGACCGCTTAATTTGGATGTCAGCTACTGATACCTCCTATAGCTGTGAATGAAAGATGTCCAGTATTAAAGGCTGCCTGGTTTGACATCAACTCAAACCCACCGATCTAAGCAACAGAGAAGGACTACTGGACCCAGGGATCTCTATTTTGTAAGTCTTGGTATTGTTTTACAAAGACTTTCTCATAAAGTATCACAGAATGTCACGTCAAAATATTGAATTCCGTGCTATATCATGAGTTATGTTGGATTAACTGGTTGTAAAATACTTTGTATTGATTTTGGTGTTAGTAAATTGTAGTGGCAAAATTCCCGTCTCGTCCAAAATATCATTAGAGTTGTGTTTTTAAACATGTAATTAAACCGTGAAACCATTATGGTAGTCCTGATGAAGTCCAGCCGAATATAATAAAAAACCTGCATACCAGTTAATGTTTAAATAAATTCTTGCCAATATCGTTTTATCTCGGGAGTTAACGTTACATATGTTACTAAACTATTTTTTCCCCTCAAGTCGATTTGTATATTTCGGGAATGAAGCCTCAAACTGCATGAAATCATCTAAATATTTACCTTTAAAGAACCATTGGCATAAGTTCTTCAGTACGTAACTGGTCTTTGTACAGACCCTATTCCTGGACTCTTATCGCGGCATTCCAGACATTCAAATTGCTTAATGTCGCTTAATCAATGGAGAGAATAAATAACTTGCGTGTAGTCTGTCAGTCACCCGATACCTTATCGCTCATTTGGGATAAAACTTCACACACATCAAACACTCTTCTGTTCATTCTTATCACTATATAATAAATTGATCATAACGTTTTAAATAACGGGCTAAATTGATTTTTTTTTCTAGTTGTGTCTTGACGTGTACAAAAACTTGGGACTAATTAATATTTGCCACGCAATATACAATTAATAGTATATATGTATTACTAAAAGAACTTGGTATACGTTTAAAATACGTTCAATGCTCTGCGAATAAAGATTCAAAAGCAAAATGCTTTTAAGGCCATGAAAATGTCATAACACGCTAAAACACCTTAATGCTAGAACATTTAGAGTAAGCATGCTTGAAACGAATCCCTTATAAAATATTTTTTTAAGTATTAATGGTCTGAAAACGCGGTTCCAATGAGGTATTTAATGATGCGAAGTTGGTAAATACTGTTGTTTCAGGATACAGGTACTGTATGTTGTGCGGTTGTGTGATTTTTCTCTTTTCCAGCAGATCGTTTGAAAAAACAGATTTAAGATGCCGAACTGGGGAGGTGGAGCGAAGTGTTCAGCCTGTGAGAAAACGGTTTATCACGCAGAGGAGATACAGTGCAATGGAAGAAGTTTCCACAAAACCTGCTTTATCTGCAGTGAGTCCTCCGTTTATTCACCACTAATGGTCCACACGGACGACACTTCTCTGTCGCTCATTTTTGTCTTTGGGGGCATTTGGGATGGGTCTGTGCTGAGGGCGCAGGGAATGAACTCTAAACCAAACGTTTGCCCCTTTTTCAAAAAGGCACGCAAATCCTGCGACACCTGTTTCAAGATGTCATTGCAGAAAACAGACGAGCATACAGTAGTTTAGAGACGCCAGTTAACCTAAAAAGCGTGTCATTGTACTGCGGGATGCAGTCGCCGCACAAAAGCACCCCTGGGCTCCGAATTGAAACCCAGGATTTAAGAGCTTGCAGGGCAACAGACCTATCCAGCTCTTCATCACGTGTTATGAACTGTAGCCCATAATTAAATTGCAAGTCTGACATTTGGGCTGCAATCGGTAATGTCATTGAATCCCAAATGTCCGTGTAATTAATTGCCGTTCAGGCTGTGCTCCGTCTGTTGCGGCAAATTAAAAAGTTTACCCTCCGAAACAAAAATGGAATTAGAAACCAGGTTATACTGGCCAATAGCTCAACATCAACAGCGGACAATTTTGCATGCAAGGGAATTTGGAGACTGGCACAATATTAACTAAAATATCTGTTATCTTCACAGCGACCTTCTTTGGCTACTTAACAACGTAGCACCGAGGTGTGGAAATCACCAGGGCTCAATCTGAATGATGCTAGCTCTATCTTTAGCAGGCCAGGCAAAGGTCATGTGTGACATTTATAAATAGCTTTCATTGTCAGGTTTGACGCCATTTTATTTTTGTGACCACGATAAGTCAAGTTTTTAACTAAATTAAATTTACCTTTTGGCTAGCAAACGGTACTTTTATGTACAACATACCCCAGGATGAAGCATCATACTGACAGGCAGCGACCAAATAAAAAAAAAAAACAACAACAACAACAACAACAACAAATGTTTTGCAGCTCCCGTCTTCTAAGAAAGCTTTACCTTTGTTTCTTCTAGTGGTCTGCAGAAAAGCCCTTGATAGCACAACGGTAGCAGCACACGAGTCTGAAATTTACTGCAAGACCTGTTACGGGAAGAAGTATGGTCCAAAAGGCTACGGCTATGGACAAGGTGCGGGAGCACTCAGCTCAGACCCCGGAGAGCACCTGGGGATTCAACCGCAAGAGTACGTGAAGGGAATTCATCCAGCAGATCAAATACCATTTTCAATTTCCTGTTTACCTAAACTACAGCACTAAATAAGTGTCCCAAAGTCCAGTGCCAAATGCGCAAAAGTGTTCCTTGTACGCGAAGTCATCCGCGTATTTTTGGAGCTCACTTTGCAACTTCAAAGGCAATAGTCAGCTTCTGCGTCTTCAGTAGAACCGAGTTTAGTCAAATCCATCAATTGCCCTCTGCAGCGTAATACGTTTTTTTTCCCCCTGAGGTTTATCAAGTTAATATGAACTACACACTTCTCCAAACGGTTCGAATTTTGCCAGGACGCCTGGTTCAACCGTGAAACGCACCTGAGAAGCTACCGGACTGAATGCGTCCTGAACAGACCCGGAGTAGTGATCAGGGTCACCTGGAAATTATGTTTGAGACTGATTTGCTTGAGGCAAAATCCTCCGACGCTCAAATATTGAATGGGAATCACTCCATCTTGTTTTCGTAATGAGCAGATTTTAGTCTCCTTAAATAGGAATGGCCTAAATTCAAAGGGATATTACTTTACAATACATTCCGAAAACACGGAATACCATGCATAACAAAAATCCGTATTTTCAACCTTCTCAAACCGAGAGATTATTAATTAAAAGTAATCTACTACAGTGACGAGCTACACGTGTAAGTGATTACATTTGAGAATAAACCAAGACGTTGGGGGGAAAATCATTTGAAAAGCCATGAGTTAGAGATCCATTTTACGTGTGTATTGTTACTATGTTGTAAAATGTTATATTCCGTCTTTAAACTTTAAAATTATTATTTCTTTTAAAAATTAACCCCTTACATTGCTTGTTACTTGTAACCTTAATGGATTACCCCATAAATGTACCATTCCAAAACCCTGATTATATCTGTTGGGAAAATAAGGTACACAATTCTAATGCAGATGTAAATGCAAAGTACTTTGTGTATGTTGTAATAAGTCGCGTGAATCCTTTCATTTTTCTCAAAGACCAGGATGCACCACAATCACAAACTAGCAAATTACCCTGGAGTAAAAAACATGTTTTGAGCAAAGTTTCTCAGGTGAAGGTGTCTCAAAACAGATTCCTATCATACATGCCTAGGCTTACCCAAAGTACGAAGTGATTTTAAAAACAAAACTGAAAACAACAAAACATATATCACTCCTTGAATGAACACAACACACCTGTTTCTATGTGTTTTTAAAAAAGTACAGCTATTTGCCAACCACTGTTAAAAATACCATTTCCAATATTTCACAATATTTTTGTGTGGGTATAGCCTCAATTACTTTTTAGCCTCTCTTCTCAAGTTTGTGAAAATGAGGTCAGTTCAGGTTTAAGGGTAGGTTAAGGGCTATGGTTGGGGGTATAAACTAATACATAAGCCTTATGCCCACAACTGCAGTTGGACAAATAACCATTGACTTTTATAGATGCAATAAAAATTATGTACTAACACATTTTTTCCCACCTCTTTGGATTAGATCAAAGCCTCATCGCCCGACAGCGAACTCGAACCCCAACAAGTTTGCTCAGAAATTCGGAGGCTCAGAGAGATGCCCGCGCTGTTCTAAGGCTGTTTACGCTGCAGAGAAAGTCATGGGAGGAGGAAAGGTACAAATATGCACAGCCGGGTTTCATTCAAGAGAGGATGTAAACTGTTGCTTTTGGAGTCACATCTGCTGAAGAAAAGCCATGCTCATACCTACAGAACCTACAGAACAGTAACAGGTTTTTTTTTACATTTGTAACTTTGAGAATGGCTACAGTACATGAAGCACAAACTCTCCAGCTGAATGAGAACAATAGCAAGTGTCTGTTGCTCGTTCATTCATAAACATAATCTCTGGGATAAAGCAAATTTGTTTGCTCCAGGTGTCATCGATTTGGACGTTTGTGGGAGTAAATACCAGCGAAGGAAGTGTGCTACATTTATAGCACACAAAGTAACACAAAGTTTGTTGTTTGTGACTCACCCACTTGTTTTTAAGAGTAGCGAGTTTGGCCCACGGAGAAGATGCCTCTATATGTGATTGTGTCTTGTTAAAAGTTCTCATTGTAGAGGCTTGAAGTTAGAGCATCTCGAAAACCTAATACATTCAGTATGAAGTTTCAAGCTTGGTACATACAACTGTATAAAGATAAATAAAAATGGACAGTATTCATAAAGTGGCGCATTTCAAATCCACAGCTCACTAACATCTGTTCACCTATCTGCAGGGGTTAAATTATATGAATAATATATTAATTATTAGCTACTTTTATGGAAAATGAAAATTATTCACTCAGAAAAAATAAGTGTGATAACTGTTGAAATTGGTCATTATTGTTAAATGCCATAATGAAACGAAGCCCAAATAAAATGATCTGTTCTGTGTGTTCAGCCCTGGCATAAAACATGCTTCCGCTGTGCCCTCTGTGGGAAGAGTCTGGAATCTACGACAGTGACTGACAAAGATGGAGAGATTTACTGCAAAGGTATAGAGAAGACCCCCACATTTAAATAAAAAACACACATTAGGAATATACTAGTTTACACCATTAAATCTTTAAATTAAACAAATAAATAATAGAATGTAGAGTATTTGTAAGGCAATTTGTAAATGCCATAATTTCTAGAATAAGTAACACTATTCTATTTATACTAAGCTTTGATCTTTTTGCCCAGTCTACAAACAATGGACAACCCATTAAAGTATAGCATAAGCCAAAGAACAGTTTAGTGTCAGGACAGTTAAATCTGCACAATTTCAAATCAAATTCCTTTTTCAAAAAAAAAACCCTGGATAAAAGGTTCCTAAAAATGAACAATGTATTGAAATTAATAACATTCTAAGAGCATGATTAGAGAGCCTCGTTAGAGTAAAGAAGAATGCAGATTGCCTTTCAATTCCTAGAACTAACATGAAGACTTTTAATAACCTTTTCAGTGAAGAGGCTCTAATCACAGTCCTTATCTCTACCAACCCTCTGCCAGCTGTCAACTTAAAAAAGTCTGCTGTTATGTGCTGCTTACACCACGATAATTTGACCCTAAAAAGTCTATAACAATCACTGCTGTGTTCTGACCAATAGTAGACTCAACATGAAATTCCTATAAATATTACAGTTTAAAATACATGTAATGACAGGTTCTAGTCTACCCTAAAGGAAAGGTGGTTCATTGGTTGTAGATCTTCCTCACATTTCCTTCTTTTTCTTTTTCCCCCAGTTTGCTACGCCAAAAACTTTGGTCCAAAGGGAATGGGTCTTGGAAATCTGGGAGCTGTCGAAGAAAAACAGTAAACCAGCAGGGATAACTTGTGAACAAAGCTAAAATCTTCTGAATTTTGTGTTAAAATACATAGTACAAAATGATGAGGCATTCATCACATGTAAGAAAAATGCTTTCTATATGACTTGACACAAATAATGTGACATGTAATTACCTTTAGATGTGTATAACCATATCGGATAATATGCTGGAGTGTGGATTGTACTTATTTAAATATATGACATTAATAAATGTCATCTCATAGCCCAATGACACTAAAAGATGTTAGAGTCAGTTTTTCACTGAAAAGTGCATGTATTGTTCCTATGAGGCCACTGCACAAATAAATGCTAGCCGCACTGTTATGCCTTACAGTGGATCTATATGGATCTATAATAATAATAATTTAAGGTAGTGAAGTATATGACCAGGCACAAATCCCTTAAGTACAGTATCACTGTTGTGCACAGAAAGGATACAGTATGTACTTAATCTGACAGAAATACTTAATCTGACAGAAAGACTACAGCATATTAATGTATCTTAATACAGAAATGCTTACAGAAATACTGGATAACAATAATGCAATTCACTATTTCTCCAGGCTGGTATTTCATTTTATATCTTCAGAACATATCAAACTTAAATATAGATAACCTAAAAAAGATTGATATTATTTCTCAATATCAAGTTATACATTGTCAATTCATACAAAAAAGAACCTTAGATTTGCTGATGTATTTTTTTGGCCTTTGATGGTTTGTTTTTAAAAAAATAGATATTTTCATAATGCAAATTCAAAAGAATGGAAATATAGACAGACCAGAAGGGAAAAAAAGAGGAGGACATAAGTAAGACAAAATGAGACCGGAAAAAATGTACAATAAGTGTAAGCTTTATAAGGGAATCTTTATGGTTAAATTCAGTTTAGTTTGCTTATTACATGAATGAGAGGGATAATAATAACCATAGCTAATTTATATTTATATAACTACTACTATATTAAAAAGTGGGGGTATTGTGTATGCGCGATACATGGTGTGTATGTGTATGTGTCTCCTTGTATGCATATGTGAGTGTGCACTATAAATTTAGATTGCCAATAAATGGAGCCCATATTTCTCTGAAATGTCTAGTTTGATTTTTAATAGAGGATGTCATTTTACCCAGTGATATGTGTTCCGTAAAACAATTTAACAACTGTGTAACTATAAGTGTGTTTCTAGTTTTCCAGTTCAAAAAGATTAACTTTCTTGGCAATAGTTAAGGCGATGACTATCTTTCCGGGGGTTTGAGTCAGGGGATTAATTACTAAGAGACCTCCAAGTAAACAGAAATAAAGACAGAGGAATGTTGTGGCTCATAAGGAGGGACATTCTGTCAGTGACTGCCCTGCCAGAAACCTTGTGTTGTGGGGCAGGGCTGAGTAACATGGAAGTAGTTCTCTGGAGTGTCTAGTGTACAATGTGAGTACAGTGTATCTGAATTTATTAAACCCTTCTTATATTTCTTATGCTGGATAGGAGATGCTCTGTGATTCATCTTATATTGGACAAGTTAATGTTTGAATTTTTAGTCATTCAGAAGATGTTCCCACAGATTTGTGTCCAGAAGTCAGTGCCGGGACTTTCTTAGGGGCTGGCATTTTGTTGATTTCTTCTATTCACAAAGGTGGCTGTAAATTGTTAAGAATCAATTCAGGATTTAATCACCAATTTTAACTGGTGGCATTAAAGATATTGTTCTCTCCCCAGTATCGTACTTCTGGACCAACTCCTTAATTGTTACAAAAAATGTTAATTTGAAAGATGTAGTCAAGATATGCAATACTGTTTTGATTCCAGGTGCAAAAAAAGTGTTTTTTGGTTCAGTTGAAGAGACTATGTGAGATTGGGGTGTACTTACAATGTGTCAATGTTGACTTTTTTATTGTAATTGTGTTTATTTTCCACCAAGCTGTCAGGGTTCTTGAGATTACAGTGTTCTTAAAACAAATGTAGAATTTAATATAGCTTTCTTATTCAGGGAGATAATAGAGTGCTGCCTGTTTTTTGAATGATCATTAATCAGATTTGCACCACCAACATAAGGAGACTGCTATAATTCAATTACACAGGACAGGAAAATTAAGAAATACATTTGTTTAAATCCCTTAATGAAACAATTATGACAGCTGTGGGAGCAAGCAGAATAATTTTTAAATTGATGCACACATGTACAAAAACAATTAATGCATAGAAGTGCGAGGTAATGCATTTTTCATAGACTGAATACACTGGCATTGTGTATAACACACTATATAGAGCAGGATTCCTATGCATTTCATCACATCCTGTTGTGCTTTAAATTAAATCAAATGCCAATGTCACCTCCTAAAAGACAAGTTGAATGTCTTCACAATATTTTTTTTACTAGGAAACTAGGAAATCAAAAGCCAATAAAACCAAATTGAGCAATTTATCAAGATAAATAAGTCTAGAAAATTACTAAAAACTAGATTTCCATTACATTTAACTTTATGGAGATGATAGTTAAACCTCGAGGATCACCTGCATTGATAGAGGATAGTTAACATGGATTTACGAAGGATGGGGTTATTAATTTAACTGCGTAACAGCAGTAATGTATACAGACAATATACTTTATCAATATAAACTCAAGTAGAAACTGGGGAAATGCATTTAAAACCAGGAAAAAAGGAAGCACACTTTTACACAAAGGGTTGTGGGCATCTGTAGAACACCACCAAATGATGGTGTCAAAGTGGATACCCTGGCTTCCTTCAAGAAGCAGCTGAGAGAAATCTTCAGATCACTTACTGTATGAACTACTAGCAACAAAATGAGCTAAATGGACCACATGGTCTCCTCCATTTTTATTATGCATGCAGGATTAATACTGAAGTTAATAGTTATTTTCTCTCCATTCTACACACTAAATCACTGTAGGGTTCAGAGATAAAGCCTGTGGTTTACCTGTACTGGCTTCTCTGTTGCCTTTATTGATGAGCACATCCCATTTGATCCTAGTAGGAACTTTATCCCTCCCTTTCCTGAATGTTCCAACAAGACTGCAATCAAGGTCCATTTCTTTATTGCAATGCAGTTAATGATTTGTCACCTTCTAATTCTTCCACTAGGTTATCCATCCATTCATTTTCTTCCAATTCAGGGTCACGGGGAAGCCCACGTCTGAATAAACCTTGGACGGGATGCCAGTCCATCACAGGGCACAAACACAGACATGCGCACACTCACACCAGGGCCAGTTTTCCCAGAAGCCAATTCACCTATCAGTATGTTTCTGGACTGTGGGAGGAGACCAGAGCACCTGGAGGAAATCCACAATCCACAGGGAGGACATGCAAACTCCACCAAGACCACCTCAGGTCCCGAATTGAACCCAGGACCCCAGCGCTAAGAGGCAGCAATGTTAACCAATGTTTTACCATTCCGCACTCACCAGGATATAGAAAAACAAAACTTGAAAAATGTGATGTATAATCCATGAAATGTTTTAATATTTCAAAATTTTTGTAACTAAAAGAGTAGGTTTCAAAATAGGAGTTCATCTTGCAGATACTATTGCATTTACAAAATTGACATTTCACAGTATACTATTTAAGGCATGAAACAAGTGCACCCAAGACATAGTTATTTTTTTTCCCGATTGGATTAAAACTAGTACCATGTAAGAGCTCAATACAAACCTAAATGAAAAATATTATTGAGGAATGAAAAAAGTTTTAAACACATACAATTATAGAAATCTGATAGAAGCCCCCGAAATAATAAAAAGATTCTTCACAAAAACAAATTTGTTTCTTAACTGCAAAAAACTTAATTTATTAACAATGCAATAGTCTTATATATGATATAAAAGTGTTTTCTTTAGCATACAAATAACAAAACCATTTAATTTAAAAATATTCAAATTACATGCAAGTTACTCTCTATGACGATCTATAAAATGTGTATACATTGCCTGATCGATACAGATCTTTGTATAAAAATGATTCCTGGTCTTCAAACTTCTGTCAAACGTTACAAAGGGAACTTCACAGATTTTTCTAACGGGCTTTCAATATGTGACACAGTCACAGTACATAAAATGGTGTTTAGCAGTTCTTTTTCAGAATATTCAGCATAAGGCCACATTTTATGTAACAATCCCTGAAAAACAACATCTCTCATCTGTCATTCACACTTACATTCCCTACTGTGGTCCACACTGTAATCCTACAGGTCACTGACTAATAGACAAATATCTTTACATCTGGGCAAAATGTTAAATTGGTTGCTTTAAGGTTAAGTCTGTTGATGCTCTGCAGAAACCTACAAAACCAGTGGTTGTGAATCCCTCCTTCAGTCGCACAATAAAAATGTTGTGGCTTTGCACGAGAATCCACATATTAACTACTTTCACTCTCTGAGGATAAGACGTCGCTGTTTCACACTGTGTGAAATGGACCAGCGACTGGGTGCTCCAAACCAGTGGAGTACTCCTGAGTCCAGTCTACCACAGTGGGCTTGAACAGGCCACAGCACTTCAGCTGGAAGAAGTTCACCATGTTCTTCACACACCCTTGACTGAAGAGGAGAAAAGAGACGAAAAGGAGAAAAGTTAAACTGGAGCCGTGATGCATCTGTCACAGACATATTAGGATGTGGGACAGTTTTTACTTTCCCCCTGAACCACATGGTTTTCCTTGGGTCACATCCACTGACATCACAGCAGATACAGGAAGACCTGATCCTTTTCAACAAAAACACCTGCCTTTTAAGGCTCAACATCTGCTAACAACATTCTATGCCTGACCCAGGAGGTTAAGGTTATAACCACAAGGTCTAATTTTGCATTATGTAGCTATTTACTTCTGTAATTAAAATTCCCAAACTACCATGCCTCAAATCAGGAAAAACATTTCTGTTCTTTTTATACACTTTGTACAGTAGTACAACAGGTAGATGATTGACTCATTGTACTAAGTAGTACAAGAGAAAGATGATTATCACTGCCTTACATTTTCTAAATATATGTAATTTTGCAGACGTCTCAGTACTTTACTGTTGTATTAAGCTTAGTCATAGCAAGATGTACTATACAGTAGTTAACATTTAAATATATACATTATGTAGTATACAAAATGGGAAGTCTACTTACAGTAAATTATAAGAAAGTTACAGCAGATAAGGAGGCATTTGTCTTTGTGTTATAGTAATGATGAATACTAATTAAGTAGTCATCTACTGGGGTTGCTTCTGGCAATAAAAATATAAATAAACATTCTCACTTGTATGGGTTTTGTCTCAGTGAAAAAGACTGCTTGGCTTTCTGCTTCCGACTCAAAAGATTCATCCTCTCTGCTGAAGTCAATCCAAAGAAGGCGATCTATAGGATAGCACATGTTTGTTCATATCAAAGCACCACAACAGTAATTTAATCGAAAGCAATCTAACACTGCTTGTGGTACTCACTTGATAGAGCTGTGTCAACAGCAGAAGGGATGACCATGCAGTATGGAAGAAAGCTATCAAAAAAATGTATAGCACCCATGGAGAGCAGCCAGCCACCTGGGTCAAAACTCCCCACAAACCATGGACCTGATAGCTGGTTTTGCAATGAGAAGACCAATCTGTAATACATCAGATAACCATTTTTATACTCCCACTTCTACATCACAGTTCTCAGTGATTTCTGTGTCTACTGTATTCATATTATAACTCAACACGCCATATACTTTCGACACAGGATCTAATAGTTAAGGCATGAAATTAGAACAGCATCAATAAGGTAGCAATGCAATGCAGCAGATTATCACGATTATCAATATTTTTGCATCGACCATCTTTTCCAAGATGGTTGACTATGTTTTGTTTGTATATCTACAGTATAATGTAACCAATAGTCAGTGCTGGGGAAAGTTATCTTTAAAACATAAAAGCTTTGCAATTACAAGTTACTTATACAAAGTATTACATAATTTCAGGGGGATATCTTTTATAATGAAAAGAGATACAGTGATCTATATACTGTATATATCTGTATGTACTGTATTTAGGTACTACATAAAGTAAGGTATTATTATAAAAGCAATTTCTTCCATCTAGAACAAATATGAAAAATAATCCGAACAGAGGAGGTATAAAAGCTCTTAGCTGTATCACAGTGCATGTAGCATTTAGTTTAGCACCATGTTTGCCTGAAAGTGATACTACAGCTAAGCTTTATTAGAAGGACTGTTATTAGATCTCTCCGAATACAAACCAGACTACTTACAAACAAGCGTGCCATAAAACATCCATGTCCCAACTACGGTCAGAAAAAATACAAACATCACAAAATATCGATGATTTCTAGCACCTGCCAAGACAAAAATATACATAATGTTATTTCACTTATTTGATCTTTTCAAATTAGTCTGTAATAAAATAGACTGAATTAGCTATTGTTTCCTAGTCCAAAAATGTTGGTTTGGTGTTTTAAGGGAATGAGTGCAGTACTTTCACAGAATAAATAAGCAAGTAGTGGGATATATTTATCTCTGTAAATCTTGGTCTTAAAATATTTTTTTTCCGAATGGTTTCAAAAAGGAGCCCCAGTCTCAGACTATTACAAAATATGTTTAAAACATTTATGCAAGCTTTCAATTTTTTCCTGATAACTACTTTTCTGCATCAAGATTAATTTTAAGAAACTGATGCAAATAAATGCCAGAAAGTTAATGTTACTTTTATAGCACGCAATATATTAGCTATGAAAAATTACATTTCCCAATCAGATCTAAAATAATAGAAAAATAGAAAATAGATCTTAAATAAGATGCAAACCTAGCAAAGTGACCTACCTATGCAGCCGTTAATCCATATGGAGTGATGGTCTTGTCTTGCTACACAGGAGTCACACAAAAAACAATGTACTGAACGCAACGGTTTTCTCATCTGCACATGAAAAACAAACCAGGAAGCTTTTCAAAATTTCACACTGAACAGTTGCTTCTGTTGTTTGCTTAATCCTTTAGGAACAGTAAACGCACAGCAATTACAAGTGTGGGAAGAGAAAAATGAAAAGAGAGTATCTGATAGGACATAATGGCAGTGAAGGTGGCAATACTTGAAATTATCCAGGAGGCCCTCTGAGTGTAAGCATTATTAAGGAGAAGGAACTGCATAAAATACCTAATCAAACAGCAAGTGCAAAAGGCACGGTGTCTGACTACTGCTCAGACTGGGGAACACACCAAAAATGGGACAGGTGGAGAGAGACCAATAGGCCTTGCTCTCATAAAACATTACAAAAAAACATAAGACAAACAAGAAGAGCTCAAGAGGAACTTCTAGCCCATCTGATTGGAGATAACTGATCCAAGGATTGGAAAGGATACTTTTTTTCCCTTTTTAGCAAAGCTTCAGTTGTTTTATAAACTTGCATTTTCCACAGTAAGACACACCACTTCTTTAAACCTGAAGTTACCCTCCTCATTCTCAAACCAGAGAACAATGGAGTTTGTTCCAAGTGAGGGGGGGTGGTGGGAGTGAGATCTTAAATTTCACTTACAAGACAGGAGGTGCAAAAGATCCGCACGTCCAGACAGCCTGCTTCTGCCAGCAATACAACATTCTAAAGAAAAGACAACAGAACTCTTTTTTTTTCTTCATTCGGCATTAGAATTTCATATATCTCACTATATTTCCCATAAAATTCTACTTTTATTGCAGATTGCCAGTTTCTAAGTTCATATGCATGGTTCTCTATTCTTCTATTGGTTTTATTCACACACAGAAGAAATTCTGCTTCACATAGCAGCAACATTTTTTACTTAAAAAAAACTATGGTATATTTGAAAACAAACAAAAAAATACCAATCTGAGCTGAAAACAAAATTAACATTTACAGTAAACATGGCACCTGCCTTCGTTGTTGCAAAAAAAAGGACATATGGTACCTTTTTCTTGTCCTCTTCTGTAACCTTTATAAATCCTGGATCTGTCTTCCAGCTTCTGATGTAGTAGTAGAAAAGACCAGTAATGCAGACAGTAAAAGGAAGCTGGAAAATTGCCTCTGACAGATGTGAGGTTTTGCATTAAGGAAATTAAATACAAATAGCTGTAAATATAGTGTTCAGTGCCACCATTATCCATTTTCAGTGATGGAACTGCTTGCTTAAAGAATCTTGTGCATTTGTCATCCATGTAGTGAAGCTATTGCATATATATTAGCTGCTACTGCACGTCTCCATCATAAAATGTCCATATCACAAAACAGTATAGCCACATTTTTTAAAGAAAACCTGTTTATGAAAATGTATAATTCACAATAATCATACATTATTGAATTTAGATTAATCATGAATTTTAATGTACTGTATGTCATTATGCTATTTCATAAAACATTTTAAATTCCACATCGTTAAGCCTAGTCAGATTGCTCCTTGAAAGTTTACCTAGCCATGCCACTATCATCACCGGGAAAATAATACTTCTATGCCTCAATAAATAAATGTCACATCAGCACGAAACCGCAGCTTTTGACATTTACATTGACAGCATATCACCCAGCCTTAGCCATCTTTAATTATGTACTTTAAAGGGATTAATTTACCAAGGAAGTTAATTAAAAAGAAGCTTTCATATCTCTTTATCTGCACCCTGTTCCAGTTTGGAAAATTAATTTGCCCAGATAAAAAAAAAAAACAATTCATGCATGAGTGATGCTCCACTACAGAGCGAGAGCCATTTCCATAGTAATAAAAACAAAAAAAAGTTTCCATCATTTTCTTACAAATCAAAATGCCGAGAGCCAGAAAGCAGAAAGACCAGCTGAATATTGTTATCCAAGGACCCTGCTGTGGACAATATATGGTAATGAGTTTCCCTGGGTGAAATTAATTTTAAGCCACTAAATTATATGGTTAAATAATGCATCACCTTTTTTTCTTTCATTAAAAATATCAGATTTCAATTATTCAGTCTTATATAGCAGAGAGGAGGCTAAATTCAAACTTAACGTGGAACAAATCTTGTACCTTTACACACAGCTTGCTTTATCAATACAGTGGTTTATAAAATGATTGGGGATTATAAAAAGACAGAGCTGAATACTACATTCGATGTCATTAAAATAAGAAGAAACTCAACTTTTCAAATCATCCATTTGAACTGCTGTGTTAGGAAAGGGAGTGAGCCAGTCAAAAGCAAACATTGGTACCTAATGACACTGTGGATTAATATGAAAATGAACAGGGCAGGCACTGATTTGTTTTTCAGTAACAACACCCACGCAACCAAAAACAAATTCACAATAGTAGACAATGTGGTATTTTGTAAGCAGAAACTGTACTCAGCGGATAGCAAAGCAAGGAATATCTGCTGAAAATAAATCTATGGATTTAATATTTTCATGATTGGCAATAGAAGGTCACACTATTGTAAAGGCAGCTTCCACTGGTTTCTTGAGTGAGAAAACGCTTGCAAGGATATCGGGCAGAAACCACATGTACCAGGTGACAGCCATCCAGAAGAACGAGGCCAAGAGGATGGCCACAGCCATCTTGCCCTGGCTTTCCTGGCCCAGGAATGGCCTGCAACCAAGCAGAGTGAGCGAGCAGTTACTTCGGAGTGCCCAGTGTTCAATTCGAGTATACTTGTGCTGTAGCTGGGGTCCTCCTCAGCTCTCATTAAGCCATTACCTGGTCTTACCACACAAATCACTAGAGGTTTCTGCGGCCCAGTCAAGTGAAATAATTTTCCTTCCCTGCAACTAAAAACAGTAGGGCTGACAATTAATTTCCTGAAGACAAAACAGAAGAAACTGTGATCAGCCAAGGCTGGAAACAATCATCAGACTGGGGTCCTGAACGCAGAGGCTATTTGTATTCAGTCTGGGGCTGCAAATTCTCAAGCAGAAGTTGGCTACAAATCTTTGCCCGGAAAAATCTTGATTCAAGGCAAATACAGTCACAGATTTAGTCTCAGAATTCGGCATAATACTCCCACCTTGTGGGAGCTCCTTAGAAACTGCACTGCAACCATGACTACCAGCTACAACACTGCTGCATCCGTTGCTTCACCCAACTGAGCCACAAATACCTCTAGCACACACCTATTTCACATACATACAGCACACACATATATTATTTCCAAATACTGAAAAAGTACGCAATAATTCCAAAAGTACCCTACTTACACCCTGCAAAGCCTGTCTCCAGCTACACCTCAAACCTGAGTAGGCTGTACTTCATCAAGCCACTCACAGGAAGAGCACAGCCTAGCAACCTTACCTCTGCATTAGTAATTCTGAGCACCAGATGCTGAACATACTGTGTGACTTAAAAGCAGATGTCTGCTCACCGTGCAGTCAGATTGATGACGGCACACAGGCAGGCGAAAAGGATTCCTTTAAGAAGCCAAGACTCTGTCTGCATGTCTGCAATGGCTCCCAGAGCCCACAGCACAAGTGTGCATAACAGCAACATCACATGGAACTGAAAGGAGGAAAAATAAAAACTACATCAGTTGCTTTTCCCAAAAAAGTGTGACATGTTCCAGTTTAAAAAGGAACAACAACAGAATTAAACTACATGATTTAAAAGTAAATCCTAAATCCATATATACTGTATATGTGTGACCAACTCTGAAGTGTAGTTCATGCTTTATTAAAATTATGAATACAGTACAACCCATTTCAAAGACTATTTTTGGCTCTGTAATAATTACCTTTCAGATATTTGTTACAGTATCTTGATAAGCCAATGTCTGAGGCAGAAAACAGAATAAATCACCCGGTTCTAGCCTGATCTTCCCTTTATACTAAAATTATATAGAGTATGTATTGCCTTGCCAATATCACTAGTGCCAGGAAGCCTTTTTGGATTCAACAATAACAAAAAGACAAAAAGACAAAAAGACAAATTAAACATAAGTCTTCTTCTGCAGAATTTGATCATTGTACCAATACAAAAAGAAAAACAAATACTCTCAGAAAAGAGGTTAAATTTGAGTAACACTTTGAATGATAGACTTTTGTCATACAATTATGTTTATAATTATCAAAAATGATTCTCACACTCTTATAAATTTCAAACTAGCAGGAGGAAGCATATTCATTATTGTTAATTCATTCCAAGCTATTACTTGTGCATTCTGGACCTAAAGGAAGAAACCTTGAGAGGCGTATTGATTACCGTTAAGTAATGAGAAACATAAATGCTGAATTCTTCATTCTTTTCAAGCCTCGCATTAACCCTGACCTAGAGCTCATGTATGATTTTAAACAAAGTATAAAAAGGCTGCAAGTATATTCCCTGGACTGCAGCACACTAGTAAGTATGTAAATAACTACACTAGTAAATACATGTGAAAAATAAATTACCAGTTCCTCAGTTATCAGCCACATATGACAGTAAAACAGTTTTCTCAAGGTCTAAAATATTTTATGGTGCAGTTTATTAAGGTGCAGAAGACTCAAATGGCTGGAAGGATGTTTTTAAATGTGTGCAGTTATACTGCCATAATACTTTAAGTCAGGTTTCATTTTTTTAGAATTTACATAAAGAATGTTTACAAAAACATACAGAACACAAAGCACCTACCTTGTATGTCTGCAAGAAGCGGAAACAGAGCGAGTTAGATTTACTCCTTTCATACTTTACTTGGGTCAGCATGTGAATCAGCAGGGGACTGTGGACTTGATGAGCAAGATCAATAGGAGTCTCTCCCTAAAATACAGACACACAAGGAGAGAAAACCAAGCCTTTCTTGAAGCCATCATTGCTACACACAGTGTTAACATACTGCAAGCATCTGGAGCAGAATATATACAGTATTCATGACAGTAAAAACAAAAGCTTGTGATTCCCAGGAATGATCTTTGTGCAAGGTACAGTACAATGTTTTAAAGGTCTTGGTTCTTTAGAATGAGGCATTCGTATTCTAAATGAATGAATATTCTCCAAAGAAGACATTCATCAGAAGGTCACATTCTTCCTCGGGCTCAGATGGTGCTATACTGTATTTAAGCAGTCTCTTTGCATTGATAAATGCCACTGGGCCCTTATAGGGAGAACCGAGAAAACAATACGACACTGACTGTACTGATACATATTAATACTAAACAATAAAGTACTTATCACCCTGGCCTCTCATTGCTGTTGGTTTCTTATTTCTCATTCATTCCATTCGTCCTCAGAAACTTTTCTCACCTTAGCATTCTGAATGTCCACGCTGGCCCCAGCCTCCAGCAGTATATGAGCTGCGTCCACATTGCCTGCCAGCACAGCGCAGTGCAGAGGGGTGTTTCTGTACAGCCTGTCCACAGCGTTGACCGAAGCATTGAACTTCAGAAGAAAACGGGTTGGCTCTGGACTACAAATGCAGAGGGCAAGCTTTACAAAGGGTGTGAAAGATGTGTTACGTCCAATATATTACTGGTGTCATTTTCTTTTGCAAGGTTAAGAATCTTTATATGCAAATGCCCTTAAAATCATACGTAAATGTGACTCCCACAAGATTTCTATCTGATCACATTTGTCTGGTGACAGTGGTTAAAGAGTTAAGATGCAGTCTTATGAAATTCTCACATTTCAACACTGAATTCACTTAATAACAACAACAACAACAACAATAATAATAGGGTTAAAGAAAAGCTGACTAGTTACACTTTTAGTAATGCAGTACTTACCCAATTATTTTCTGGGCCGCCAGCATTAATGGGGTTTGTCCATTTAAATCTGGCAAATCAACATCCTGTAATTAAAAAAATAGAACTCATAGGTGCAGGCATGTTAGAACTGTAATGCATCAATTCTCCTTTTAAATTGAAAAGCTTAACATCACAACAGAGTTATCTTATTTATGATTTATATTACCTTTCCATACGCAAGGATTTCTACAAAGAGTAACAGTCTATTTGATTTAGTTTCAATTCATTCAAATTAACAGGTCCTTTAAATTTGTTTTTTATATAAAACTGTCTTCTTAAAATATAGACCATTAAATAATACCAATACTTTAATACTGTTTAATGATTTCTAAAAGATCCCTGAACTGGGGAGAACACTGTATGACTATAGGAGTTAAAACCACAGATTAGGGCGTTCTCCAGTAAGGCTTTGTGTCATTTGAAAAGCCCTTCCCATGCCTTATGTAATCTGCTTATCAGTGCCTGAGGTGTCTGCCACTGTTCTCTATGTGAAAGACCTACCTGTCCCTTTGCAAACAGGTAGGCAATAATGGGCATGTGTTGAAAGAGCACAGCCAGATGCACACTGCTGAAGCCTTCTCCATCCACAAGTGCAGGGTCAGCTCCATATCGCAGGAGCAGAACTACCATGGGCAGGTGGCCCTGCCTATGGAGGAAACAGACACTTTTGATCAAGTGGATGATTGTACACTCCTATGCAAAGACAAAAGTCACTGAACACAAGATTAATTTAGTCTTAACTACTCCTGTACACAGTTCAATTATTCTGTATGGGAGTACTTACTTTATATTGTTTTTCTTATAAACACAAGGTTAATCTGACTTACTATGACTTACTATGAAGAACTGTCAATACAAAATTCACTATTCTGCAAATCATTAAAACAGACACTCTGTTCCTAAGTACGAGTCTTCAGCACTGTAATGGTATCACATTCAATGCTATCAAAATGTATTCACATTCCTTATGCTGCTGCTAATTGTATTTTACACTGCTACTTTCCCCTTTGTTATTGGCACACTGGCTATTGTTTTATGTTCTTTGCTCTAACAATTTGTGATGTCGTTTGCTGTGCAAGGAAACAAGCCAGTAGGCATTTCATTGTACTCAGGTACAAACTTAGCATTTATACATTTATAACCAAAAATGAGATATAACAATTATACCTTATAGCCCAGTGGAGAGGCGTTGAGTTCAGATCCCCTCCTAGCTGATCAATGATTGCACCTTTGGAAATGTAGTACCTTTGACAAAACAAAGGCAAGACGATACAAAACCAAACTCTAAAAATTAAAGCATCATATTTGAAGTTCTGATCTGCAAGTGGCAGAAATATTTAACATGCCTCGGACTTCACAAACAGCTCTAGTGGTAATCAAAGGCACTCTGTATTCTGAATTGATTAACCAGAAAAATAGTGTCCCTTTAATTGTGGAAAGAATGCTAAAAAAATGTGTACAGTTTGACAAATAATATTCATCCATAAATCTTAAAACTATAAAAAATAAGTAATACTTTTGTACACAAGGTGTCATTAGTTCTTCCCATAAAATTTACATATGTATCCCAAAAATGCACTATAGTAGAGCATGTACATCTAAACTCCCTAATATATAGATTTTTATTTCAATCCTTTTTCTTGACATTCTGCTTTGTTTTGTCTCAGCTGTGCCAACACTAAAATCCCCCCAGCACGGTGGAGTAATTAAGATTAACAGGCCTTGTCAACAGCTGTTTTTTAGCAGAACAACTGATTAACGTGACAACTGGAAACCCAAGCATAATCAACAACAGATGATTGTTTGAATGCAACAGGTAGTTCATGAAACAACAGGAAAACACAATTTACACACAATCTAAAACGTTTATTTTATATACCCCCTACATATATATATATATCACAATGCACAATTAATAAAATGACCATTGACTGCATGATACATTTTGCTTTGAAAACAGGCCTTACTTGACCAGCTCGGTTCGGTTGTTGATGGCTGCCCAGTGAAGCAGAGAGACGTTCTCTTTGTCAGGTTGCCGCACATCATAGCCTGCCTCTATGAGCTCTTTACACCTTTCAATTACACCGTACCTTTGAGAAGAATAAAAACCATTGGTTCACACAGCCAAAGTCTAAAGATCCCAAAGAAATGTGTATACATGTCATCGTGAACAAGCTACAAAGCTATAACTCTCAAACTGTTAAACAAGGATCCTTCAAGAAACAGCTGGATGGGATCCTCAGGTTTATTATTCACAAGCATGTGAGCTAAATGACCTCCTCTTATTTGTAACCTGTTCTAATCCCAGTTGCCTAGTGATATTATTTAAGCTCTTTATATAACTGTATTATGCATCCAAAATGATGAAGGTTTGTCTTTGGCATCACCCTAAAAAACAAATAACACAAAATAAATACATCTAAAAACAAACAACAGTCCTAGCCAGGCAACATTACATATACACATACAGACATCTCATTCTGCCCATATGACACTATCTTTACATTGATCCGATAGTTTCATACAGGAAATGGTCACTTAGATGTGTTTAATATGCTGTTTGCACAGGGAATGAAAGAGTTCATGTTTCCTGTACATTTGTTCTTGGCCACAGGCATTCTAAAACGCCTCCTTGAAGGTAGAAGTTGGAAATGGAGAGGGTGAGAGGGGTCTTCAACAATAAGCTGAGCTTTCTTTTAAACTGCAATATAATACAGCTCTTTCATCTGTGTCTGTGGTTGAAATTCTACTCACAATTCTTTGACTAGCAATATTAACAGTTCTGGCCAATTTCCCTGTTTTCTACTAACATTCCATTAACTCTCTCTATAATGTTTTGACTCAACCCAAACACTTTCAACTTCCTGATCAAAAATATACACTGACTAGCCTTCGGAAAAATGCAATTGGTATTCTCTGCCACGTTTAAATGTTCATTGATTACTGTTGACAATAAGAACACTAGGGTCTGCCTCTTGTAATCTGGAACACAGTGTTTGAAGCACCACCATTTTTCATCTTCAAGTTCAGACACCGATTTAGAGATGCTCTTCCTAGAGAATTTAGAGAATGAAACAAATAGTATCCTGTGCACAATCACCTCTGATAACTCTCTATCTACGTACATAAGTCCCAAAGCACGTCTATGATTGACAGGCCTCACACACAAAAGCTACACAACTGTTGTTGAACCTTCCCCAACAGGACAAACAGGGAAGCATTTTTAAAAAGCCAGGGTGGTTAGAGGATTATTTTTTACTTAACGAATGGATCACAAAACCTTTAACATGTCAAGTACCTGCAAGGACCTTTCCGTCTGGTTTGCTAAAGGTTTATACTTTCCAAGAGGTTCCAATCCTTAAAGATGGCCCTCAGGAACCTCAGAGCCTTGATTACACACGCAGAGTATATTTCCATGTGGTCTACTAGTAGTAGGCTTCTTTGCACAAGGAAAAAAAGCCATCTTGTCAGATTACCTAAGAGGCAACTCTTTTAACACATATGGTACAGTATATAGCCCTTCCATGACTAAGCGACCTTGATAATGCTGTTTAATATTACATTACTGCAGACTCTGGGAACACAGCAAAGTTTCTAAACCACACCTAGGAAATATTTTTCTCCATTAACATTTGTTAAACAAACTGAGAGGTTCCAAAGGGGGAAACGTCTTGTTAAGAAGCTACAGTACATACACTTTTACAGTTTATTAGCTGTCAAAATGTACTTCTCTCAAATTCAAATACATTTAAATTAGCTAATTTTCCTGGTTGCGTGTTGCATGCTCGGTAACAAGGCCCACGGACCAGAGAACAGATTCAGCATCAAGCTAAACGTCTCTCAAGTCGGAAACATATGCTTGTGTACCAGATGCAATTCCTGTGCAACTTCTGCAATGGAAAAGTGACAAAGGTCAAGTGTCTTTTAATCAACGACACTTAAAATGACACTTACTGTGTTGCTTTAACGATGTCGTAATTGTTAGAGTCCTCCATAAATGAACGCCTTTTTGGTTGCTGTGTTGGGTCCATTGTTGCTTCACTCATGTGTCCAAACTGTCCATGAAAGTCTGGCATGAACCCATGCATGTGTCCACTGTGCCCGTGCCCATGTCCATGCCCATGGCTGTGCCCTTGAGCCTGATCAAAGTGGCCGTGACTCTGGCACTGCAATACAAAAGAAACAAAACTTTCAGTGTGGGTACCATTTTTGGATCAGTTTTTATGTTTAGAACTTTTTTTAAAAAAAGATATCTGTTTAGAGTGTGTAAAATGTACCATCTAAAAATACTTACATTAGTAAATCCTAGCAATTCTGTTATCTTACAGCGTATGGATAATCGTTTTAACTAAAAATATTTATCCATAAAAAACGTGAATTTAATCCCAACCGCAGAAGTACTTAATAATGATGAAATTCTTGGTTATTAACAGAATTGCATGAGATTAGCTACGAACCAAACCTAATGCATTTTGCTTTAGCACCACTAAATGTCTAATATGAATACCAATCTAAGATATTTCATTTTAACAACAAATTATTACTTATTTTGATCGTATCTGCGACTCCCCAAAAAGATGTTTTCCTGGTTGCACCGTGAGGTCAGTACCACGTGATGCAGAAATGTCAACCGATTAGAAACCAGACAAGACCGCCCATGTGGCACTGCCTTCGCCCCAGTGCCTGAAGATATCGAGATTGAATTAACCGGCAGTGCTTCGCTACTGTTAAGGATCACAACGCAGTCAAACACATTTCTGAAACGCGTAAACACGAAAACGTTAGGGAGGCATTTTTTTTTTACAAGGCGCACAACACAGGCCACTACTGATTTAGTACGCGAAATTAAAATATTTTAAGTGACGTTTTGATTTTGCAAAACGTCTGGCTAGTTATGTATGCCGTGAGGAATCAGTCAAGTAAAATGAAACTAATCTGGGTCAGAGATCGTTCGCAAATTGACACCACAGGTGAACTTACTGGCATTTCTTCCTCCCAATCCATGATTCCAGGATAGTTTCTCTCAGTAACACAGCAGCGCTTCCTTTCTCGCTGAAGCGTCCCCTCCCTTAGACTTGGACTTCCTGGATACTGTCCACCGGGGGAATGCCCTGATTGGCGGAGTCGAGCACAAACTCCCGCCCACCCGCTTTCGCTTTCCTCCAGTCTCGTTTGTTCCGAAAGGAGGAGCACGAGCAGCCTGGGACCGCGGTGCGAGCAGGGGATGGAGAAAATGTTTGTGAAGTACAGTATGGGGAAAAAAAACAATCCAACTACAGTACAGATTCATTTCTGAAAGAAAGCATGTATTTCAACTGCTTCTAGGTTTAAAACCTGTGTATTGCACACTGTTAGCGGGATGGTATTATCATTGCATATAATAATAATATGGTCCTACGTGCGAACGGACCATAGATACTGTACCTCCAGTAATGGGAGAATAAGGAATCAGTTGGCTCTTACTTGCGGAGAAACATTTAACAGCATATCGCGTATCACTGCAAACTATACATTGTCCAGCTTGTACAACGTGAAAAACAAGGAAATTCTGAGCGTGACATGAGCTGCACGAATTAGCCATTCTTTTTGCTTTGGTTACATGTTTCCAAACAGGAGTATTTTCTGCTATCATATACTGTACCTAAAGAGAAGTCTCCCAATCAGACTAGAGCAGCGGAGTCTCTGGCTTCTTGCAAGAAACGGTTGGATGAGACCTTCGGATCAGTTAGCTACCAACTATGAAACGAATGGCCGAATGGTCTCCTCTCATTTTGTCTTTAAAAAAAAGTGTTCATTTTTAGACGTCATGGAAGAACATACGAAACGCTTAGAAAGCATTGAACCCTCCCCCTCGCTTAGAAAAAAAAGAGGTTACAATGAAATTGAAAGGTATTACAATAAAGTTTTAAATTATTTCAGAAAGAAACATACCAGACCGCTCTCATGACTACCTAAATAACCTTCTAACTTGACACCTCACCACAGGTTTCAAATGTTTTAAACATATACTGTACTGTACAGGTGTGCGCCTCATTCTGGATGTGTACAAGGTCAGAAAGGTATCAGCTCCTTCTATCTAAAATTAGTCTTCACACAGGTTTTTCATCTACCTGCCTGAGTGACATCAGCGTGGCAGGATTCCCATAAAATCTTCTCTTGTGACTGAGAGTGATTCACGTACAGAGAAAACGGAGCTGATCACTTCTGTCCATGCCAGCATGAAACGAACTAGAAGAGAAATCCATAATACTGGAAACCATCTGAAGGAAGCTCCAGGTTTGATTTGTACTGGATATAAAGAAGCCAATGCTCCTCTTCTGACTTGATTGCAGTCGTATTTTTAATTAGTTTCATTGGATAGGAGTTGTGAACATAAGGAAGAATAATACAGTCTCAAAAATGTTTCATAACAGAATGGGGGTCATTTTATTTTTATCTACGGTGCATGACGTGGCACACAGAAGGTTAATCTTTTTAATAAGAATGAGAAATGTATTTTATGAGAATATGAAAATGAGAATATTATTTGTCAAATTGAGCATAATTCTTTTAGCATTCCTTCCGCAGTTAAAGTGACAGTTTTTTTCTGTTTAATCGATTCAAGTTGGTTAAGTGTTTGCTATGCAGAGCTTCTCTAAACTTGAAAGGATTCTGATTCCAGCGTGACTATCAGATTGATGTTTTCTGACATTTAAAAAAGTGTTGTTTGTTATAACAATAAATTGTGTTCAATTGAATCATTTATTTTAAATGTTCTCAGTTTACGTTTGCATGAATGTATTTCTTGCGTGAATGCGTGGCACTAACCGCACCTCAAATGCAGTTCCCTTAAATATGAACTTCAAATTCAACTCAGCTTCTCCCCTCACGGTGGAGCTCAAGTATTTCTTTGTGTTACTAATGCAAACGTGTTTTTGTGATCTGTCTGCACACGGGCGCGTAGGAGGGAAATATTCTAGACAGATGGATGGTGTTTTGTGCCTAACCATAAACGTTTCACGGTAGATGAGCATGTCCATTGTAGTCTGCATTTGTGCAGAATCAGCTTTCCCCCGTCTGGTATACAAACCAATGAATGGAAAAGTAATCCCTATTTTTTGCAATCTGTCAACATCTTAAACTCATTCATGTTAGGCGATCGAACATGTAAAAGATAAACCCGTTGGAAGCCAAAGTGTGTTGGAAGCTAAACCGTTAATCATAACAACTTTAAAAGACTGTAGTCTGATAACAGTATTCACGTAAGCACACTGTGGTTTACGTTTATCTGTGCATGAACTTTGGGGACTAAATGTCAGGTCATCTGTGTGCTGGGGGCGTGGTGTACAGTACAATCAGCTGAAAGAAACCTGTAAAAGCAGAATTTCATTTAGAGAGAGAAGAGCGACGGAGCTCGCAAGACAGGGTCTACAGTAAGTGCAGATTTTATCAGTTTTCCTTTTGCTTACAAATAAAGCAATTTGATACCCCTTTGTTTTCATACAAAACATTTAACTCTGCGCAATTTGGAAGGAATTTGAATCAGAACAGCTCGTAGGCTGCCTACTAACTGCTGTTTTAAAAGATTATTTTGTTAGGCGAGGCAAGTTTTATCTAATAGCAAGTTATTTATTGGATTATCCAATGTTTATAATAAAAGGTCATTCGTGAGTTTGTACTTGGTTATGATTGTAATTTGTTTAAAGTGTTATTTTTTAAACAAACACTTTTACTTTTAAACATTGTCTAAAGTTTTAAAAACATTTGTTTAAAAATAACAGTTTCTGAAAAACTGGAACAAAAACTGAAAATGATACACGTCGTTATCAAATCGTGAAACAATGGGTCTCTGGAGCAGACAAAAATGTAAATGGCTCTTGTAAAAGGCCCCTGTAAAATTATTTTGTAAGAATATTAAGAAACTGATTTTTAGTACTACTGCAGCATTACTGAGAGACATACTGTATACTGTACAGTCAATATATTGGGAACATAATATAATTTTTAGTTTGCAGTTCTACTTATTGGGATTATTATTGGTATCATTATAATGTCAAGTAATTTCATTCAGGATTCCCACACAAGCACGATTTCGAGACAGCCATTAACATGTTGGCTAGGGTACTTGGTGTCTCCAAATTATTTTTCTGTGACTGTTTTTCTTGCACTACACAAACATCAAGCCCAGCGTTTCAAAGATAGTCTGGGATTAATATTTTTAAAAATACAAGATGAAATGACTAAACTCTTTCTCTTGAGCCCTTTTTACTGCTTCAGTATAAGAATATTCTTCATGTCCAATTAAATAATGTCAGATTTTTCACAAAAGTGGAATAGTAAAAACTCCTTCCATACTGTATGACATGCAGTGAATATGTTCTGCAAAATGGGGAAACATGGAATTTTACTGAAGGAAAAAAGTATTATTTAAGAAATTGTCTTCATTATTTCCTTTGTTTCCATATTCAGGATAATAAGTCATAAGGATAAGTCAGACTTTGTGAAAGACCATGGCCACAGTGAGAGACAGGCTTCTGCAGGAGGTCAACCCTGGACACACTTCTGAGTCTGCAGCAAAAGTGACTCTTGTGGGAGTAGGACAAGTTGGCATGGCCTGTGCTATAAGCATTCTTCAATCAGTAAGTAGAAGCATGATCTGAAATGACATACTCACAGACATACTTATAGTTTGAAAGGTTTCTGTTAAGATATATTGAATATGTTCATATTTCTAATATTTTACTATCATATTATGCCCCAGCCAAAATGGCTAAAGACAGATTTTAATTATAAAATGAGCCACTATTTAATGATTCATTTACATTAACTGTAAATTAATTGTGCTTGTGACTTGTTGCCCTGTCAGGAAGTTACAAAAATGGTGGTAGAAAGCAAGGTTGCACAACACCTGATAACTGCAAGGTTCGGTATAGTAAGAAGGAATATCATTTGTATTATATTGAATAGAGGCATAAAACTCATCAAATACTGCTTGTTAAACATTCATTGTGTTTTTTAATGGTTTTTGGAGTATAAACAGTCTTTATACATGCTTAACCACTGTGCATTATGTGATGATAGTTCACTACTGAAAGTAATGCATTTTTTTTCTAAATGTTTTTCCCATGTTGTAGAATATAGCAGATAATGTAACCTTGATTGATGTGATGGAAGATAAACTGAAAGGTGAAGTGATGGATTTGCAACATGGCAGCCTCTTTTTGAAGACCTCCAAGATTGTAGCTGCTAAAGGTACAACAGAACGGTCTTAAGAAATATACATACATATAGTATTAGATCAGCTACAAAGGAACAAGTAAGGTTTATTCCATGCTGAAAAAAAGAAGAAAGAAAACACAACATTTCGGCGGTGGAGCCTTCTTCAGGTGTAGATCAGCTACAGTATGTGCATATATATGTGCAGAATGGCTGGATCTATCACAACTTGACTTCCTTTTAAAATATTTTGCTGCTCATGTTATTTTTAAAGTCTTCAGAAGAATGATGTGAAAAAAATGAAGCCCTTAAGCTAGCACAGCAAGCCCCCTGTTTGTCTCACTGTCTCCCTTCTGGTAGCAGAATAAAATAAGGATGTTCTGATGTGCTGGAAGAACAGGAAAGGTTGATCTTGCTCACAGAGGTCCCTTGACACACGCCAGGTCAATTACAGCAAGGGCTGAGAGCAAGAGAGATCAGAGGTGTGCAGTGGAAAACCTGTCCCCAGTGTCCTGCCGAGCACAGAGCACAACAACAGATGCTAAGTTTGGAGGCAGATTTTGCAACAGGGAAAGCTGATGCTTGGAGAAACCTGCTATTACAGCACAATCTGTCAGGTTTTTCATGTTTCTCCAATTCATCTTTTCTTCTGCTTCTAATAAGAGGGCTCCTTCTCTTGAACAATTTAGTGTGACATAAGATCCCAAGTATCAGCTTTGGTTTGCAAAGAGTCTAGATAGAGGCCACATACAGTAAATAACGGAATAAGAAATCAGCTGTGAATACCATTAGCATTAGAAAGATCGCAGGCAGCCAGTCTCTGGTCATCAGCTATCTATTGTGAGATGTCCCCTTTGTCTTGCAGACTACTCAGAAACAGCTAATTCAAAGCTGTGCATCATAACTGCTGGTGTTCGGCAGAAGGAAGGTGAAAGCAGGCTGAACCTGGTTCAGAGAAATGTTGATGTCTTCAAGCACATCGTCCCTAGCCTGGCTAAGTACAGCCCGGATGCCATTATTCTTGTTGTTTCCAATCCAGGTGATTCAAGCTTTGGTCTTGCCTATGAAATGTAACCAAATGCATAATCGCTTAAATCTGAACTCTTAAATGTCCTTAACATTCTTTCTGAAAATGCATTTGAAATCATGTCATCAACACTGTCAGGTCAATTAAAAACTTTTTTAAAGGCAGCGTGATCTCTATATTTAAGGTGACACTGTGCGTGTACTGTTTGTCGTTATTCAGAACTGGACATTAGTCCTTTCCTGTAATGTAGTGATGGCAAGGTAACCAAGCAACAACACTGGCTTCTAATTATGTTGTTAACTTATTAACTTCACACTAAGTGTCTTACTGATATCTGTCAACACTAAACCAATTTGGATGCTGCAGGATAGAACAGGATGTCATTAGTAACTATAAAACACTGACAGGGATATTTGAAGTCTGTTTTTAAACCAGGAGTGCTCTGCTGCTGTTGCTCTCTGTGGCTGACTGCAGAGTTTTTGTGCTTTGTTTGCCCTCGCAGTGGACATCCTTACCTATGTGGCTTGGAAGCTAAGCGGGTTCCCCAGCCACCGGGTCATTGGCAGCGGCACCAATCTGGACTCGGCCCGGTTCCGCTATCTTATGGGAGAGAAGCTGAGGATTAACCCTAGCAGTGTCCATGGATACATTGTGGGGGAACATGGAGACTCTAGTGGTAGGTGAGACCCAGCCGGACCCCCTGGCCTGGGTTTTTGAAGTATGAGCACCCTGCACACACTTTAATAAAAAAATCAGCTATAAAGACCTTAACCTCCCTCCTCTCAAGCCTTTCCTCAAACATGAGATCTTTTTTTTAGAATATCACTCAGGCATTGAACAATGGGACTATTCCATTGCACGACTTTGTTACCACCTAAATCTTAATAAATGTAGCCAAATATATCTGTTTAATCATTTTAGAGATGACAGTTTAAAAATCGGCCGTGGAGAGGACTTTTAATACTGATAATAGCAGTAATAAGTGCATCTTAAATTTATGATGCACATCATTTCTAAAATTACACAAAAAAGTGGAGTGGCAAAACCTTAGAGGCTTACTATTCAGAATGAACTTGTACAAAAATAGTTATAGACCAATGGAGCAGCAATGCATCTTCTTAACAGCTAGGAACAGTGCACACAGATTAAAGCCCACCTACAAACAAGCAGTTCAGAGTGGCTGCTCTTGCTCCTGACTTGCTGAGATCCCCAAAGACCAGTTCCTTTGGTGAAATAAAGATGGGGCGTATCCAAGCTTGCTGCATAACAGCAGCACAAACCAAAATATATTAAGTTTCCCAGTGGGAAATGAAATGAAATGAAAAAAAAAAATCTCTTCAGCTGTAAGCTGTTGTAAACTATTGTTCAGATGCAATTGCACTACTGCTGAAACCTTAAAATACATGAAGTTGCTTTATCCTCACACTGCAATTATGTTTTATAAGCAGCAGTAAATCAACTGTTTGAGAATTGTTTTTATGGACATACAGTACTGTAACACCCAGGGTGGTGAACTTTACAACAAAGTTCACTTTTGAATTAAACATGTTAAACTACCAGAACTACCACTACCAGAATTTGTTTTGTTTACTTAGAAAGCAGCTAACTGTCACATTATGAAAAAAATATTGGAAGGCAGGATTGTACATACATTGAGTTACTCCACCAACATACGGTAGCAAGGTCATGCAAAGAGATATCATACAAAATGTTTGAAGAAACCAAAGTTTTGAACAAAACACAACCTGAGTGTGTGTGATTTGAAAGATCAAAGTCTGTGTTTCAGTCGCAAGAGGAAATGTTTGCTTAAGAAAATCTCATTATGAAATGACCCTGTTGTTTGTGGAGCCAGCTTTTAATGTGACTGCCCACCTGGCTAAGCATGGGGACTGACAATTCATTCTTGAGTCTGCATTAGTTTCAGAATGAGTGTTTTTGAATTCCCACCCACAACCCCTCTAAAAAAAGACACGTGATATGCCTAGTAGTAAACACCAGCGTGATCTTCTCCTGAACTTCCTGACATGGAGTTAAAATACTTGTTACTGGACTGAAACAAGCCAGTAACTTAAAAGCGTGCACTTCACTTACACTCATAGTTAGAGAGTGCAGAGAGTGTGTGGTTAAAACTCTTTTTGTCTTCAGTTCCTGTCTGGAGTGGGACCAATGTGGCTGGCATTAGTCTCCAGTCTCTGAATCCCCAGCTGGAATCAGACCAGGACCCTGAGGGATGGAAGGAAATACATAAAAAAGTGGTTGACAGGTACCGTTAATGTTAAGATTTTACCAAACTTAAGACTTGCTTTTCACAAACTCGTTTCACTCCATATACAGTATATCGAGGTGGAAGACACCAGGTTATTAGCAAACAGTTAACAAAAAGCTGGATTAGAATGACTTTTTATTCAGACCACCAAAAGACAGTCCAGCACCCATTTGTGCTATTTGACATTGTAAACTGCTTTGAACGAAAACTTCTGTATTCAGCACAATTCAAGTCAATAAGCATCCATTTTCTAACCCCTTATTCTCAGTAACCATCGCGCTTCTAGTAAATATGATTGGATTAAATTATTCTGTACACATCTGAGAAGCATGGCAAACAGTAAGCTTATGTTGTTTTTTCTTAAAAACGCACCACATGACCTTTGTCCCCAATTGGGTAAATTTATCTTAAGTAATAAAAACTATCAGTTTCAGTGAGTCATAGTTTCCCTAAGATCTTGAGACATCTGTGTGGAAGAAATACTTAGCATTGGAAGGAACAGTTAGATTTCTCAACACAATTCACTTTCCAAAATTTGAATAGTACAGTGTTTCAACAATATGTTTAATACTGATTATAGCAGTATTAAGTACAGCTTACATTTATCATGCACATCATTTCTGAAATTACACAAAAAAGTGGAGTGGCGAAACCTCAGAGTACTTACTATTCAGAATGCACACCTTAAAAATGATTTTAAACTGGAAAATGCTTAATTGCGGATCTTGTCAAGATTGAGCACTCAGTATGTTTTGATATTCAGCAATAAGAACAGAGCAGGGTAACTGCTGGATAATTTTAAACTTCCCAAAGCATTCTCCCTGATTTAATTCTACAATGCAAAAGCAAGTGCCAACGGCTTATATTTGATAGACATGCAGTAGTGTTTAATTAAACAAACCCGCTTCTATGTGAAGCTCTCAGCTCTTTGGATGTACTGTAATTCTCTTTTTGGAAATGTGTGTTCTGTTTGCAGTGCGTATGAGGTGATTAAACTGAAAGGATACACCTCCTGGGCTATTGGACTGAGTGTGGCCAGCCTTGCAAACTCAGTCCTGAAAAACCTCAAAACTGTGAACCCCATCTCAACACTTGTCAAGGTAGGGCCCCTTTAAGGTATCCTACAAAACACCTCAGGCTCCTGCACAGCTGCCTTTAAGGCTCTGGGCCTCTCATTCGTGAGACTGCCATTAGCTGAAAAGATCCAATGCAGTCATAGGAGTGAAACAGGATAGGGTACCCTTCATTTACTAGGGTGAAAGGTTTGGATGGATGTAGAATCATTTTGTGGACTTTGCTGTACACTTACAGATCCTTGTTAATGCTTCATGGTGTGCCCCTTTAAAATGCTTTGGTTCATTCAAAGGAATTGAAATGATGTTTAACATTGACTTTCTCCAGAATGGACAAGGGGTTTTTCCAGATTGTCAAGGATACTCCTCAGAGCACAAGTGTAAAATTCAATCCAAGTCCAGTAGTATAAAATTTCTCTCCTACTCTACATATGCATCTACTATGAATCTGTTGGCAAGCAGGTATGCTTGTAATATTTTATAATTAATAATAGCATTATTTTTTAATTGCTATAGATTTATGTTTAAATCAAAGGGTCCTTACCAAGAGGGATTTCTTGAGGAGGGGGGTGGAGACAGATCCTGGCTAACAAAGCACCTCTCCTTTTCCAAAGGGCATGCACGGGATTAAGGAAGAGGTGTTCCTGAGTGTGCCCTGTGTCCTGGGCTCCTCTGGGGTGTGTGGGGTTTTGAAACAGCCCCTGAAAGAGACGGAGACCAGGCAGCTGCAGCACAGTGCGGAGACCCTCTGGAACGTCCAGAAAGACCTCAAGCTCTGAGACCCGAAGATGAAGCCCAGGATACCAGAGCAAATGCAAATCGTTAAAGCTTCAAGCTTTCCTGGGCTGCAAGTTCTTTTTGAAAGCCTTTGTCGAAACGAGCGCTGGTTCTGTTAGACGCTGTGCTTGTGCACGCTGTGGCAATGACTGCTGTGAACGTTATTCAGGATGTGGTAAAGGGGTGGTTTAAGGAAATGTTCAAATTTATGACTCAACCCCACATTGGTAATTTTAAAATATGTCTCAATCCTGGTAGATTATGGTGAAAAGATAAACTGAAATATATATTATTTTGGGGAGCTTAGGACTTGTTTCAGGAAATGACGCGTAAAGAGTTGGCTTTCACCACAGCTTCTCTAGTTTGTTGGCTTATGGGCATCACTGCAATGTTTGGAGAGCTCTTTGTCTGAATGGAATTCATGAGCACTCTTTGACAGCAAATATTAAATACCTGATTGAACATGGTTTGGCTGCTTTGTTTCCTTGAATTCGTATTTTCATTAATTTCTTGTTTTTATAGAAAAAAAACCTCTGAAATTAATTTCAGCGTATTTAAATAAAAAACATCAGATCTTAGTAAAACTGGCACAAGACCTAAAACTGTCAATGGTCTTCAGGACCTTCAACAACCTAAACCCTAAGAATCCTTCCTATCCAGAAACTGTGAAATGTTTTCCAACGCCTCTCTTCATTTTCTAAATCATGTTGAAAATCTAGATCCATGCAGGATGAAAACTATAGCACTAAATTCATTTTTTTTTAATAAAGCGTACAACTCTGAAAGGTAAAATTCTTAAAAAGGATATCTTAAGAAGACAAGAGATTTCAATCCCTAGTTTTACTGCATGAAATTGAACAGATATAACTTTAACTGCACCACTAGATGGCAGCATTTCCTAACAGTTCCAAAGTCCTGCCTGTGTCCAAACAGTATTCCCGAAGCTAATACTGAGGCTGTGGGTACTTATTAAAAAAACAGAAATAAGTTTTGAATTGGTTTATTATTCCAAAGTGAAAAATATATCATAATATTACTCTTATTTATGTAGAGTTTAATATGTAATGTACTCCTGTTGCCCTTGACCCACTAAAAAAGTGTTTCTGATTGCCTGCAGAGGTAAAGACAATAGACTCATGGACTCATAGGTGGAAACAATACGAGAGTGTGACTTTCTTTTCTTTTAGTTAGAAGAGCTGTTATTTATATTTACATTAACGCTGCAAGCCCTGCCCTCTTTGGGACAGAATACTGCACTTCACTAGGTTTTGTATTTTTAAGCAGTGCATTTCTCAGTGCAGTAGGTGGCAGTACTAGTTTTCAAGTGCTGTAAAGTCTGTGCAAAAACCAGTGGTTCATTAATGTAAGTCATTTTTATCAACACTGCTCTTTTCCATCTGCAAATGCCTCTCGTCGCTAGAGATACTGGCAAGCATTTAAATAAGCCATGCTGGCGAAGTTCCTTTTAACCCCTTTCCATCTGTGATGATGTATAAACAAAGGTGCTGAGCCAGTGTTCCTCTATAAACACCAAAGTTTCACAGAGCAGTTCGGTTTCATCTTCCCTGTTGGGAAGAAGAGAGGTTCCAGATCCAGAGAGATCCAGAAACCCACAGTAAAGGGCAGAATCCCTCGTGTGTTCCAGAACTTCCACAAGGGGTCCTAATGATGGTGATGCCCCTCTCGTCTGTGGTAGTGTTTGGGTCTTCTTGGGCATTGGGAGCCTTTGTCTGACTTTACCTTCTGTTAGCCCCTCTCTTGAGCACTACTGTTTGTTCCCCGCCTATGGTAGGGATTTTCGAGTACAGTAAGCAGGTTGGAAAAGGCAGATGTATAAACAGAAGTGGACTTGAATGCCAGAAAGGCAAGAAACAAGTAAACACTGGCCAAAATGGATGTAACAGGCTGCTTGCTTGAGGCAGAATCCACAGGGGATGATGGGCCTTACTGCTCCTGAAGCAGACTAGAACAATGACCTTTAAGCATTCTACGAGTTGCACGAAAGTGAAATGCATTCTAAATGATTTATATAATTTCTAGGGCAAAGGGCTCCTACCCCAAATGCATTCCAGGTTTTGCTTGAGTCTCTCGAACTCCATTTAGCCTTTATATTGTCTTCCAAAACACCTGAAGTAGCTGTGTTTGTTGTTACTTTATTTCAAAAGTTCTAAGGTTTGTTTGGAAAGAATTTCCTTCCATGATATTTCAGTTTATTACCACAAATCTTTCCAGTTGGGATTTTACCTCTCTCTGTACAATATATATATATGAAAATAAAAGTCTGATGTCCTCTAATTTAAAAAATACAAATAATATATTTATGATTTATAAATAATAAATAGCATTATATTGTCTAGTTAATACAGAGAACACTCAGCCAACCGTAATTTTAAATCTAGTTGTAGGACATTATCAAGTTTAGTCACAAGTACAGTAAATTATTTATGAACTCCAGTGCTCACAGCAAACAAGCAAGAACTACAAAAGCTGAAGCATTTTTGAAGACCAAGCAAATACCTACATATGTGAACACTGTGAGTGAACTACAAATAAACTAAGCAGAAACTAGAATCTGACCTAGACTGGACTTAAATGACCAAACAGTTTTTTAATTAAAGAAGCTAGTGTTACAGGGTATGTTTCACCAAACAGTTGAAGACCTAGTGAGAAAATGATCATGGAAGCCCTACTGGTGTGGTCCAAGCCAGAAGCAGCTCTGGTTGGTCATGAAATCTACCAAGTTTCAATTGTATTGGTTCAGTGTTTCACAGGACACAGGTAGTTTGAGATGTGAGAGCAAAATGGCGGTCAGGTTTCCATCTTGGTATGTGCATGAATGACAGTGTATCAGATGTTAATGATATGCTTGAAAGAATGATAAAATGGTCTCATGTTTGGAGCAAATTGGACTGTTTTTCAACAGCAGAAGTGAGTGTTATGAGTCACATATTGACAATGAAGGAAAAGAAATGGCAGTCAAGTGGCCATCTTGAGACTGGATTATGTATACAATATATTTCACATATTTATCTTGTTGAAACTAGAATTACACTTTTAGTCTTGAGTTAATTGGCCATTAAATTTAATGACTGATTTGTCTCTGTACATTTGCCTAGCACGAATTTGCTTGGGTGCCTGGTCTTCAAACACTAGCATTTTCAAATGTGGGAAGAAGAAAAAAACCCTTACAATCACAATAAACTTCCACTACTTGGAGACCTAAAGAAAAAAAAACAGCAAAGTAATGAAGTCATTTTATCAAGGCAGCAATAAAAGACATTTTATAGCCTTTTGTTTATTACCCCTTTAAAAATGATTTGAATCAAGTCTCCAAAAGAAATTCCCAAACCTCTATGGCCAATTTAATCCCATTATTTCTTAATTAGAACTTCCAAGGGTTAAAACTATTTTGCAACACTCATGCTTTCTTCTCTCTGAAAACCTCTGTGCCCAGTGTAGTTAAGATCTTATCTGCTTTGTTATGTAAAAGTTCCCGCACCGCTGCAGAAACCACCCATGACTACAGCCTGAGCGCAGGGAGATCCTAGCGCTGGTGTCGGCTGGGAGGAGTACTTGAGCATGACCCTTTTCTGCCCCCTTCCTCTCCTGTCACATGCGTGTGCTCTTAGCAAGGCTGCTGGTGCATGACCATGGTGCTGCGGGTTCACTCAGCCTCTGCTGGAGGCTGCCAGCGGCCTACCTCACTGCCAGGATTTCGCACGGTCGAAATATGGACGTTCCAAAAAGAAACCCAGGCCACAATGGAGAATCCATCCAAATGCCTAGATATTTTACAAGGGGAATTGGGCGACCTTCACAATTAACTGGGGGCAGCCAGATGCTAGCCCTTGGACGCCACAGTAACGAGCAAGAAGACAGACCTTCCGGCAGCACAGAGCCGAGATTCAAACCACCTGGATTGGTGGGGAATCCTCCTTCTGCAGCAGAGGTTTGTGAAGCCAGAGCAAACAGGCAAGTTTATTTAGTGGCTTCCTTGCTCAGTGAGCTACTGGGGAAGGTTCGTCACAAGGCCAGCCAACTGATAAGAAACTGAATCAATAAATTCAATGTCAGAGTCAGCCCCTGTTTGCTTAATGCTTCAAGTCTCTCTTAAAGTGTCAGGATAACATCCATGGATAGGTGGGAGTCAGGGGGAGATATTTGGTCCTATGTAGGTAATATTACCTCCAGAAAGTAAAATTGCATTAAAGAATAACAAATGAAATCATCACAGAAGATCAGCTTAGTTGAATGGGTTCAACTCTGTACAGATATAAATGGGTTTGATGTGTACAGAGAGAATTAAAGGCCAAAGTTTAACAGAATTTTAAAAAATATATTTCCTGAGATTTATTTTAAGTCTGTCTGTGCTTTCCAGACACTTCTGGAACAACCGTTTTTTCCAGGCAGGATATCATTCCAAAACTGGGTGTGCTAGGAGTTACTAAAATTGTCCTTTGCCAAAGCTCACATAATAATATGAAGTTCACCAAGAAGATTTATTGTCTGGTGAGCAGCAGCTACTGATTTTCCAGACTTTTCAAGTGGCACCCAGGTTTCTCAGCACTCTTCCTCAGATATTTTCAAGAACCTGCAACACCACAGCTTGAGAGCCATTTCAAAGGCCGCAGGAAAGACGTGGACATAGAACTGTCCTACTTTACCAGCTTGATCCCTGGCACCTCCCCCACCAAATACATTTTGGTAAATGCTCTTGGAACTGATTCTTTTACTAAAAGACTCAAAATCAAGTATTTTGGCCTTCTCTTTCTGTGCTTCCTTTACTTCACAGATGCTATAGGCACTGATTGATTATTTGGATTAATTATGCAGCAGCTGTCCAGGCAAGCAAAGTGTATCCAGGGATGCCATAGAAAGAAATTCCAAAAGCTGCCTCTTTCCTGCTCTGGGGTAGTTTGTGATATGTCTGGCAAACATGAGTGTAACTAAGACAGTAGAATTAATAATAATACAGAAATCTGCATAAAAATAAATAATGAAAACCTGTGTAAGACGTCTGCCAGGGATGAGAACATCCAAGGTGGTGAAAGATATACTGACAGAGAGACTAGAAATTACACTCCTAACACTGGCATTCTATTTTCATACAAAAGGCAGTACGTACCACATTTTGTAGAGATAATCCTACAACATTTTGATTGAAAAGGCTGTGCTGTCCAATGGTTAAAAAATACCAGTTTTAGCAGATCAAACTTGATACCTTAACCAATACAAAAAAAGAGATTTATAAATCCTGATGGAGCCTGTGACTGGGTAACGTTCAAATTAGACCTGTATCTGTGCTACTTTACCAATGTTTAGTGTGCTAAAAGTGAACTTTTGGATACTCTTTGAAAACAGATTACTTTTTGATCCTTGCTTCCAGGATTTTTGGCATTTTGTAATATTTTTAAAACATGAGATAATATTTTCTAATATTAGACTCCTATTATACGTCCCCCACCCC